TATAGAAAGGTATATAAGGGCATTTAATAATTAATAATTAGCATTTAGGATAACTATTAGTATAATAGGGCTATTTTAAAGTTAAAAAAATGCTTTAATATTAACCCATCCTTTTAATATTATTAGAACTTCCTTATAACCTTTACCTTATAATTTATCTTTAATAATTATATTATAAATTAGGATTTATTATAATTAATTAATAGGGATAGCTTTAATTAGATTATATATATAAAAAACCTTTAAAATAAAGGGAATTTCTTCCTTTAACCTAATAATTATAATAGTATATTAAAGGAAGAAATAAGCATAGTCCTATAGGGTTATATATCCTTAGGTAAATAATTATATAAATTGTCCTTGTTTAGATTAAGTTTATTCCGGGTTATTAGCTTTATATTTACTTTTAAAAATCCTTTTTACTTTATTCCAATTTATTATAAAATTAACTAAATATTAAATTATATGCTTTTTAATTGTTATTTTTATCTAATAGGGAAGTTAATTAACCTATTTTTTAAAGAGAAGCCGGTAAAATTTGAAGAGCCGTTCTAATCCTTTAAGCTATTTTATAACCTTATTACTATTAAAAAGGTTTTAAAGGCGTAAAGTAAGGTTAAGGATAAAAAAGCTAACGATATAAACAGCTATAAAAATAAACTTCTATAAAGCTATCATTTTATAGAATAATAAGTTTAGAAAAGTAAATCCTTTAATTCTTAAATTATTTAAAGTAATGCTATTAGGTTTATTAATTAAATAATCGTTAACAAGTATTAATATAAATAATATTATTTAAATTTAAAAATTTTTGCTTAATAATATAGGGAAATTAAATAAATAAAATAATTTTAATTATAAGTTTATAATATTATAAAAACATCTTTCGTAATAGTTTAGGAAAATAGAAGTAATAAAGATTTTTAAAATTAAATATAAAGGTCCAGCTGTTTTATCTTTTATTATTCGCTCCTTATTCTTTTATCTATTCGTATAATAAGGTAAAAGTTTACTTAACCTTATTTATAAAAGCTTATATAATATCTTACAAATAGTTAAGCTAACTAAAAGAACTTAATAAAATAAAAAAAGGAAATATAGATTATAATTTATTATTTTTAAGTTAATATCTATTAATAGTTTAATTAATAATTTCTTTTAAGTTATTTTTAATTCGTAGGCCATTTTAATAGGCCTATATTAGCTTAATACTTTATATTATTTCTTTAGTTCTTATATTTTAGGTAATCTTATATAATAAGAATTAAAATAATTAATAGGGCACTATATCTAAATAATAAAATTTAAAAAATAAAAAAGGAAGTAGTAAGCTTTTTAAAAGCGAATATTTAATATTTTATCTTTATAAGCTTTGTTAGCTAAAGTATTAATCTTCCAATTATAGGTCGTACTTTGGGAAGTATTAAACATTTTAGTTTTATCTGCCTTACCAAGAATACCAATACGAAGGGAGTTAAAGGAGGGGGGGGACAACTAATAGGCAATAACAATAAACCAATAAACCTACAACCTCTTATTAAAAATTATAAAATAATATATAAAAAGCTTTAATTAATAAGTATAAAAGGTAAGGCAATATATATTCTTTAAGGTATGTTGTAATCTATTTATTAGGTTTTATTTGCCTAGTTTATACCGGGGCAACCTATATTTTATATATATAAAAGCAACGAAAGAAATTAAAGTAAAGCGTCCGCTATACTCTTTCTTCCATAATGTTCATGCCCCTATTCCTAGCCCTATTACATTATATAGTTTTTTTAAATAAGATAACTTCTTTCTATATAATGTATAGTTTTTTTATTAAATATATTCACTTATATTTATTATAATTATACGTTATAAGTTTAAATAATTAATAATAATTAATAAATAAGGTTTTTATATATTAACTATTATACTTTTTTCCTTACCTTAAGGTATTTATTACCTTATATATATAAAGGGTTTTTTCACTTTTCCCTTAAGATTCTTATAAAGGTTTTACTTTTTTCCTTTATTTATTAATTTAACAGGTTTTATCTATTTTTCTTAAAACTGGATTATTAATTCTATAAGCTGTATTCAGCTTATAAAATTAAAGGGTGATGTTAGTTAGGTTGTTTACCTAATACCTAATTAAGCAATTTACCTGTAGGGTATTAGTCATCTGGGTATGAGTTATAGGTTCGAACCTTCCAGTGGGTTCGATAGGGAACCTTTTAGGGCACCCTTCAGGGCACCCTACAGGGCAGCGGCTAGGTTTATATACAGCGGGTTATCCCCGCGGTCAGGAAGACCGTATTCTGTATTCCTATTTATATAACTCTCCTTCCGTACTGGATAACTGAATGACTCATCCATTTACCCCACTTATTAGTCATCTTCTGAACTGCTTATTAAGATATATATGCAATTACCTAAGCTGACCCGAATAGCCTCCGAGAATCTCCAAAGGGAAAATATATATCTAGGAGAGTTAACCGTTGATGGTGTGAACGTTTCTCCTGTCGATAATAGGGTACAGCAGACCCAACCAAATCACCAGATCGCTCAGAACACATCAAGAATCCAGCCTTAACAGCCGGAATATAGTAAGTAGACCTAGCCACTTCCAGCGGTACCTAGAAGAGACACCTTGCTCCTCACATGGCTAGCCTCCGGGAAGATCAGACGCCGGGGGCACCGATGAAACGTCGGGACTGATAGGATCGGGCTTTGGAAGTACTTTCAAGCATGGGTGTTTCTGAGAAACACTCACGCTTCACAATGGCTTTCTAACTAGACCTAGAACTAGAGCTGTCCCCAACAATAACCAGCCGCCGTATTTATGAACTAGGTTACTGCAGGCTTGATTGACATCGGTCAAAATTTATAGATGGACATGCTCAGTACATTTCTGGGGACGCAAGGGCCTTTCACCGCCTTCCTCTCCCCCTATTTCATCTTACATACATCAGCAGGCACCCTTGGAACTTTCAATCTCTGGATCCACCATTCATGTTCAGAATCGACGGGATCTGCACAAGGATCCGTGCACGTTCAGTTGCGTCCTGAGATTTTGCCATGTCACGGCAATCGTTTGAGATTGGTGATGAGATGTATCCTTCCATTATAGCCGTCTCTTTGGGCCAATCATACTCACCTCTAGCAACTCACACTCCGTAAAAACGAATGATGAGCAACGGGTTCGGTTTCCCACTACCTATGTATTCCGCCACTTGCGACAATCTCTAGCCGGCTACAAAGACTCAATATGTAGGAGTATACTTGTTCTCTAATTCGGGGCTAAGACACTCAATGACTAGGGTTACCTTATTGGCCTGTTTTCTATCATTTCTACGATTAAATCCACTGTCATGAAGGCACTTGTGAGATTAGATCTGTAACTCAGAGTGCCGATACCACTATGCGCTTACATGCTAGGAGTACAAAGTTATTCTAGAGATTTAATAGAAGCCGAAGGAACCTTTAAGCGCTAAGGCCTCTGAGCTTATCCGTAGCATTACTTCCTTACTTGCTATGCAATATCGTCGACTCTGAGAATTCTCAACTTATCGCACAACACTTCCGGTACTGGAAGAGTCGATGCAGGACTCCACAATCTCCCCTACTCAACGCAGTTGGCGAACGATCTTGGTTACATCCACGTCAGACTTGTGGGGCGGAATGCTTGTTCCCAGCGTATTCCGCACGCGCCTCAGCCCATACCTAGATGCCTAAATAATGTGAATATACTATGTATGAGGTCTGATTCTTCAATTAGTCTATTTATAATGACGACTTCAATGTCGCCAGTTTATGCTGGCGCCCTCTCTATGTGTAAACTCCACGTCTGACTGCCGTAGTTGATACTATACCAGAAATACTTAAGAATTCGTTTTCTTTACTAAGTAGCTCACTTCGTTGACCACACAATGTTAGCCGTTATTGCCTAAAGCTTATCATAGGAGCGCTCTTGTCCTGCATGTGCCTGGGTATCATCACTTGATCTTTGAGTGCATGATGTTATACGTGTCATGGTCTAGGTAATGTGGAGGAGACATTCAGAATTATTATGATGCTTAGGACCCTATAGCATGCGGATAGAAATCTAATCGGTAAGTTTGCATTAGGTGTATATGTGGGCCTGTGCACAGCTTGAGCGTGCTCTTCTCATCTCACACTCACGATAGCATTTTGCTTTTTCGTCAAAGAGCAGCCTACCGGTACCTCAGCTTTTGCATACAGTAGTCCATACCTGATTGATCCTCCCTTGAGTCATCTTGCATGCCTACCCACCATTGGTTGGTAATTTTGTTTCTAGGTGCGCTGAAAGAGAGGCAGCCAAGCGTAGCGCTTGCGGAAGCGGTGCGATGCAGGTGCTCGGTGCTAATTGAAACAAATCCCCTCTTCTTGGCCGTGTCAAATACTCAGAATGTGGTCAAGTTCCTAATCCAGTCAAGTCTTCGTTTCACCATTTCTTATCGTGGCTGCTATTATGCGTAGCGCAAGTGAGCTCACCGTGCCGCGTGGTTTTTCACCACGATGGACTCTATACTGCTGAGCCAATCTGCCTCATATGGTCGGCAACGACTGTCTCTCGACCGACCCCGGACCTCATTTTGCCTATTGAGGCGGATCGTGGAGCTGCCTCATCTTTGCTGCTGCGTGATAAAAAGGGTCAGCTCTTTATCTAGCCATCCTCGCTTATCCGTGCGGGATGAAACCATACATGAAACGATCTCGACAGGGGGGACCCGAATCGCCGCAACACCTTTGACTAGGCTGATATTGTAAGTGCGCCAATACCTCCTCAACCTGAGCCGCGGGCTTCAGGGGTTCTGCACTAAGTGTGTACTTAGAGGCTTTCGAACACGGGCCCTGCTAGCGTCACGTTTGAGATGATGAGCTTACCTACGATCGTGAAAATCCATGTTCACACGGGGATGTGCGCGTGCAGAAGCCCTATCTGGAGTAGGTAGGTCGAGAGTAACGCGGTGCGCCGGATGATAGGTCCATGTGTTGCTTCCGTTTACTATGACTGCTTTTGCCTTCTTACTACTGCATTACTTTGAAGCCTCACTTCTAATTCTGTCGCCTACTATGGCATCATGATGAGAAATAGTGATATGCTATCATGATATTATCGTTTTGTTGATAATTCTCGTCGCCCATCGAGTGGGCATTGCCTTCACTTCTCTCCCTCCCGTGATTACTGTTCAATAGCATTGTCGTTACCATGGCGGTGCCTGGAACCACACAGGCTCTCATTGCCGCCTTCTTGTTGTCAGTACTCAACTACGATCCAGTCTCGTTCGCCTGTTCTTACCGTTTATTGCAGTGGCATCCTATTCAACTCGGCATCTACAGCTCTAGTACTCTACGTCAAAAGCAATGGGTCAGCGATCTACCGGGACGGGCTGAGGCTGGTCCTCATTTTATTCTTCTTATCATCTTCAACTTGGGCCCTCGTCGAATTTCTCTCCACTCTGATTGATCCGAGCGCAGTAACCACGTGCCAGGTGGCGGTGGTTTTCTCATCTCTCTTCGACCAGTTCGGAAGAGTATTTGTTGAGCAGTATCTGGTTTGGGCGGTGCCGAAAGGAGATGCCAAAACAGTGTTTTCCCTCATACCACAGATCTTGGTTTTTGGTCGCTTCTTCGTCGCAATAGCATTTACCGCAGTAACTCGGCCTCAGTTTAAACCTACTTGCGCACCTATATCGAGCGTACAGGGAGTTTCCATCACCGCTATCGCTCTAGATGGGTCTATTATTGGTCTTCTATTGATCCAATCTTTCTCGAGGGGCGTGGCTACAAAAGCGCCCGGCTCTAATCCGATAACCTTGAAACATAAAGCTGCTCGCTTGATCGTTGTGGGAGTTGCTCTATGGTGGGGGGTTCGTACTCATATTTCTCCTATCGTGTGCAACCAGCGCTTACACTATACAGACGAGTGTGGCTTCTTTATTGGGACTGGAAAGTATAGACCTATTCTATAAGATTGCCTTGCCTGGGATTGGTCTCACGGTATTAGTCGGTTAGTTCTCACCACACAACAAACGGATCAAGACATCTAGTAACATCATATAGCGCTGGTCACACTACTATCCCAGACATATGCAACTCCTCGGGAGCATCCCCAGCGCCCCGATTCTCCGATATCTCAAGGAGCTAGAGACTTGCCATCTTCAGGCTCTGGGGACTACCCGCCTTCCCGTTATGAGGATCTGAAAGGAATCAATGCTTTATCAATATCCGCGTTTGTAACAAGACGAGATCCTCCCCGAAACATCCGCCGGAATGATGATGGCACGTTTCCCACTATCTCGAGGCCAATGACAGCTGGATCAGACACGACTGGAAACCCAACACAGGACCAAATCCCCTCGACCGTCAATCCATTGGCTATGGCACCTGCCCTAGCCGTGGTGCCACCACTTCCAGAAAATTGGGCCGTGATTAAGAGCGCGGGTGGTCGGGCTAAGGCTCAGTCCAAACCCAGAGCTAAGGGAGGAAAGCTGATAATTTCAAATCCAATTACTAAAGAAGATACGAACTTGCAGACTTCATTAAAGAAGATTCCTACAATTGACCTGGCAGAAGCAGCAACCAACGAAAGGCTACGAAGAGAGAAGTATGCGCAACGTACTTCGGTTCTAGTTGCGCAGCGTCCTGCCCCGCGGCCTCCTAGCCCCCAGATGTTCTCTGGCATGGTGGCTACGGAACAACAGGTTGATGGAGACTTAGAAAGATCTGAATCAACAAAGACAAGCAAGACATCAGGCGGATTATCTGTCGAGGCGAATGCATCTTCCACTGCTACTCAACTGTCTCCTGGAATCGATGCTATTCGGCGTCGATCTCCAAGACAGCCTGAGCCAGCTTCGTTGACAACGCCGTACAGGGTCATCAAACCTGGAGAACCGATTCGGATACCCATCCCACGGCCGCCGCAACGAGACCAAGTTCCACCGCCACCAAAACCAGAGCCCGTAAAGACACCTCTTCAACGCCGTCCTACTACAGGTTTACCTTCGAACCCGCGCGCTCAAACACTAAAATCCACTGACAACCAAAAGACTCAAACTGTTATGTTTGTTAACAACATTGTATACAGCGACCCGAATGCTGTTGGTGATATTATCCAAGAAGCTACTAAAATGCCGCAGTCACCTGATTCAGTTGTGCATCGCCCACGTCCCATCCCAAGGAAGGGTGATCAGGACCGCCAGGTATTTCCAGCCGAGTTTTCTCCAGACCGCCATCATAGGCGATCTAAATCTGGTGGATCGATTATGAGCCGAAAATCGATTTTACAAGTGGTCCCTGGAAGTCCAACAGGACTTCCCTCTCTACCTCCAGTGCCCCCCATGGTTTCTTCAGCCACAAGGACCATATCGAACAACACTAAAAGTATGACAGTTGATGAGAAAATGGACCTGCTTTATACTAATGAAGCGAGTGCCCCTATCACTGATATAGGCATGAAGCGGCGTTCATCATCTCTCCCTGGCTCTACCCGGGGGGAGCCATTGCAACTATTACCAGCTAGTGTATTCGATACAGAATCGAGTACTGACATAAGAGCATCTAGAGTTAGCAAACGGTCTACAGCGAGGACTTCGAGTTTACTAGGAATAACGGTAGAACCTCAGAGTTCTGATCAAGTTAATGTTTTGGCGACATCTTTCAGCAACCGAGACCCCGTGAGCGACTTAGGAAACTCTTGGTTACCTGGAATCCCCGCCAAGGCGGTCACAATAGCAGAGGCAGCGAAACGTGGGCCTCCGCCGGCAGTCCCAATACGTCGCCAGGCAAGCGTATCGACAACTCGCAGTGGGATGCGACCTGAAGACGACGACGAAACGATGACAAATTGGGGCTCAGTGCATTCACCAGCTATCCCAATCTCGAGACAGAATGCGCGCTCAACTTACATTCAGAAAGGATCTCGGAATGTCGAACCCCTCGAGGATATTCCTATTCTGATGGTTGATGGATCTGTCGAGGGCCGAGGGGGTATCAGCTCATCATCGGATAGCGATCAGTTGCTACGTAGCAACCCGGGCGCTTCTTCAGGTTCTCCAGGGCCGTTTCATCATCGGCCGGGTGATAATTGCCCTACTTTCTCTGCTCGGAAGAACAAAACGCGACCAAGAAAGATGCCCCCTCCTACGCCATTGCTTCTAGGTGGTCAGGCTGCCAAGCGTGAAATAATCATACAGGCCGCAGAACCATCCCCAATAGAGTCCCCGAGAGCTGCTTATGAGGCCATCCAAGCGCAACTGAGAAATTTGGAAGAGTCTGATAGAAATTCGATAGAAGATTCGCGCCAGAGCCTAGCCCTTCTTGAGAACCTTGAACAGGAGATGGGGCAACTAGAGTCGCAATGGCAAGCTACACACGTCAATCTGAGCAGAGACTCTATGTCTACTATAGGAACCTCGTCTGCCCTGAATTCACGCCCACCTTCACTAGCTCCAGCGTTATCTAGGCCACCCTCACAGCGTTTATCCTTCATACATACCATTTCTGAGCGCCGGGCGTCACGGAGGTCTCGTATGCAACTTGGAGGTGGGGAAGGGACGGTCAAAACACCGTCTAACAAATTACCGCAGGCAGAACCAGCCGAGAGACAGGTGCAGTACACAGGGCAGACCCCAGAACTACTGATGAAGCGCCACAGTTCGAATGTATTGTCGGTTTCGAAAGCTGATTTAGGAAACCCAAGCCCTCCTGACACAGATGGATCAGATTTAGATGAGGAACTAGAAGAAAGTCATGTGGCACACAGTCTCAAAACAAGACAACCTATGTCTCCCATTCCCACATTATGGTCCCAGAAACAAACAATCCAAGAGACTGCTGCTTCGTGGCTTTGGGAGCCCCGGACAATGTCATCCCAAGTACAAACGCTACATCACGAGTCTCTAATACCATTAGGTCGATCAGTCGCTCGAAAGCAACTTAGCCCGTTAAAAATCGAGAGCTCATGTTTGTGGCAAAATGACACAAGATCGACGCCAATGCAACCGCAGCAGGGACTGTGGATTAACCAACATGCTTCTCGCCATTTTGGGTCGGTAAAGGCTCTGGCTCGCCCAGTCCTTGTACGCCCCCCTCGAAAACAAAAGCGTGTCACTCTCCTCCCCGACATCATTGAGAATCCCGAACCTCTTCCGAATAAACGAGGCACCCTGGGCATTTTTCAGTTCCCTTGGGGAGAGAGAAGCGAGCATGCTACACTTCAATATCGTCACAGCCAAGCGTTCATGGCCATGCCGGGCACCATGGCCACTAGAAATCCCATAGATAATGCCGTGCTTAGAGCTAGGATGTCGGAATTCCAAGCAGATGAGTACTCGTCATCTTTCTTTGATGACTTCGAGGAGAGTGATAATTTATCTGACTTGTCTGGCGATAATGATGATGAATTTGACGAGACGACTCTTTGGGAGATCGCGAGCTTACTCCAGACAAACCAAATCCCGTCCAAGAGCAGCTTGTTACCTGTACCACTGCAGTCTTCATCTTCAACGAGCGCCTCCGATCTCCTGGAGTATATTGCGGACATGTCATCTGATTATGGAGACGAGAGCGAGACAGAATTTGAGATTCCTATGCCAGAAGAAGGCCCATTGCCTTGCCAAGAGCATAAGAACCTGAGAACTGTTGAGAACCCTTTGTTATGGTCTGCAAATCATATTTCGGAACGCAATCTACAAAGTTCTGGACTACCTCAAGACGAAGACTGGAGCTGGAAATGGAACGACTTCACCATTGGTCCTGAAAACTCAATTCGAAGTCGATCCGGAACCGACGATTCCCTCTCAATAGTAAGTACCAAGCTATGGGCGCCTATAGCTAAAGAGACGAGAAGTCCCAACATGTCACTCCTTTGGGCAGCATCAACAGATAACACCGAGCTCGACGAAGTGTCCTGTCCCATAAAACTAGTGCAGACCCAACAACATATCTCAAAGATGTGGTCGAAACCAGAGACTTCCAGCCGCCCCGCCGCGCAACACAACTCCTCCTTACCGGAACCGGAGGTTCAGGTTTGGCAGCAGTTAGTCTCGGAGACAAATGTCGTGAAAAGGTCGAAGCCGCGTATGGAAATCACACTGCCAACTATCAACAGCTCCACGCTGTGGTCGCAAAGTAAGATCAAGATGCTGTGGACTGCGCCTCCAATATCTCCCTTACTTGAGAACAGGGCTTTATTTAGGCCAGGAGCTTCAAAGAGCAGCTACCGGACCACGACAGAACCTCCAGCTGCACTTTCGCTCTCCAAAAGGCATTATAGTCTCAATGCAGTTGCTATGGAACCTCTAGAGTCGGACGCTCTGTGGAGTTTGAAAGTTTCTACCGCTTCTCAGCCTTCAGGGGGTGCTCTTTGGAGGCCCGTTGTCCCTAGTTCAAAAGGAAAACAAGTGAAGTCCACATCAGCACCTGTATTACAGGACAAGTCTTCGAGTGGCCTTTGGCAGTTGGCAGTGCAAACACTCCCGTCACAGTCTAAGGGCTTATTTGATCCTAAGGCGACTAGATGTGATTTTCGGCGAACTTCGGAGCCTCCAGCAGCAATACTCACTAGTATAAGACCTCGTCTTGTGCAAGAATGTCCACTGGCTTTGGCTAGTCGCAGCCTTTGGGCTCCCCTTGAGGCTCGTGGTACTGGAACTAAAGATAACAACACTGCCTTCCTTTGGCAAAGAAAGTTTTCTTCGATTGCCAGTAAACCCACTCTCTTTAGGGTTGACATAGGACGAACAGATTACCGCAATACACCCGCCGAACCTGCAGCATTGGAAATTGTCAGGAGACAGAGAGTAACCCAGCAGCCACCGCATATCCTCCAGTCGACTGAGCTTTGGGCCAAGGATCAAGCATCTCATTCAGAAGTAGATTGGATTGCTGCATGTGCCCCAGCTGTCACTGAAGCCCTTGAAGCTAGCTATCCACAAATTGGGCATCCTTCGCGCGTCTCTTACCCCAAGGACTGGGATATTCAACTAAACGAGGCGCTCCCCCCCAGTGGTGATGTACCCTTAGCTCCTCGTTGGCGAGCGACACCCCGAGATTGGTCCCTAGCACTCCAACAAGCTGTGCTTGAGTCTTACCCTGAGCTCAGATACTCAAGGGGACAGGCACTGGCACCCGAATGGAAATTCGGACTTGAAAACGAGATACTTGAAGAGAAGGCCTCCCCAACCCAGAATCTGGATGTCTCAGTTCGGCATCCAGTATTTCTCGGCTCGTTGGCATCAGCAGCTGAAACTGTACACCCAGCATTAACCGGCTACCGTATTGATACTGTCATGCGCCCGGTAACAAAGGCATTCAGCATGCCCTCCCTCTGGACCAAGGCTTCTGAACCGCAAACCATATCCATAAACGGATTGTGGACTTTCTCTAACGGGGCGGGTTCAAGCACAGTATCTCGACACCCGCTGAACAATACTACTTCCAGTTATTATCCTATGAGAGGAAGTCAGGTATCTCGTTCAATAGTCTCCGAGACAAAGATTGATTCAAGAACGCAGGGGCTGTGGCATCGTGGTAACGGGAATAGCTCTCGGCACCATGCCTCTTCATTCGAGAAGAACTGGCTGGATGACACGGTTCACAAGAGATTCTCTCGAATTGAACTGCGATACTAAATTGCGTGACATATTCCTTTCTCTTAGCATAGCCGTCTCATCTTCATGCGAGCACACTCATGTTTCCTTCCTATCATCTATATGCCTGTAATATAACCATTCAGTACATATACCATTAGCCACTTAGCAAGATAGTTTAAATTTAAAAAATGCTAAACGTAATTGAACCATGTTTTGTTTTTCCACGCTGCATTTCTGAGTTTACATGAGTGAGTTAATATGTCGATATCTGCTCATAGCCACTCAATGGTTGATGAATACGACTCGTCCACCTCACGACCATTCTCCCTCGTAGTGTATGAACCCTTCAGCAAGTCCTTCCCTTCCAGCTCACCGTCTGCGCCAACCCTAAGTGTTCCCAGTTTCCCCCCCTGATTATCTAGCAGTTCGGCGCTCGCGCCCTCTTTGACATGGTAGAGGACAACTTCGACATCTCCAGCATAGTCGTACACGGCACCTTTTACGCCGAATTTGCCGAGGACGAGAATCGTGTTCTCACGCACATAGAGCGGCAGACTACTGAATCCATGCTTCTCCCTGAACCACCCGGGGCCCTCACGGGCCTGATTTGTGAAGAACGAGGTCCATTTACCCTTCGGTAGGTAGAACTCGACTTCACCCGACTCCTCGAATATCGGCGCAGCAAGTAGCGCGTCGCCGATCATGAACTGACGATCAAGATACCACGCGGTTTGATCGTCGGGGAACTCGAGACACATGGCCCTTAGCGAGAGCGGCCAACCGTTCTCGATGGCTTTGGCACCCTGCGCATACAGATACGGCATGAGCCTTGTTTTGAGCGCCGTCCACTTCGCCAGGGTCCGCGAGCAGCCCTCTTCTGACTTGTCGTCGTTGTCGATAGTCCAGGGCACACGGTACGAACTGCTACCATGCAGTCGACTATGCGAGCACAACAATCCGAAAGCGACCCAGCGTTTATAGATCCACGGCGCTGGATACCCTTCGAAGCCGCCAATGTCGTTGGACCAGAAGGCAAACCCGCAGAGACCAAGGCCTAGCCCGCCGCGCACCGATTCGGCCATTGCTTCGGGCGTGGACTCGCAGTCGCCGCCCCAGACGAGCGGGAAACGCTGTGTACCGGCGCACGCGCTACGCGCGAAGAGTACTGCTTCAGTTGTGCCATATCGTGCTTGTAGAGCCTCGTAGACGACCTTGTTATATAGGAAAGCGTAGTAATTCTAGCAACATGTTAATGACTTATTCGAGCTCAAACATATCGTGATATATAGAAAGGACGGTGGACTCACATGCATCTTATGCGGGTCAAGCGATTTATCATACCATTCGACATCCAGCGTTGGGATTCTCTCCCCAAAGTCCGTCTTAATGCAATCGACGCCCTTGTCGAATAACTCATTAAGACAGCTAACATACCACTTAGCAGCTTCGGGATTTGTGAAATCGACGAGTCCCATGCCAGCTTGCCATAAATCCCACTGCCAGACGTCGCCGTTTTTTCGCTTCAATAAGTAACCTTTCTCAGCTGCGTTCCTGAAGGCCGCGCCCTGCTGTGCGATGTACGGGTTGATCCACACGCAGACCTTCTTGACGAGACCGGACTCTTTCAGTCGGGAGATCTGCGCCTTGGGGTCAGGGAAGCGCTCTGAATCGAAGACGAAGTCCGTCCATGTGAAGGCCTATCAAATCGCACCAGACATGTAAGTTTTGTAGGATAACAAAGCGCGCGAGAGAGGGGTTCTGAGAATTCTAGAGCGGATACCATCTCACCTTCATCCAGAAGCAGTCGTAATGAAAGACATCGACCTGCGTATCCCGCTCCTTCATGCCCTCGAGGAACGAGTTCACAGTCGCCTCGTCGTAATTCGTAGTGAAGCTCGTGCTGAGCCAGAGTCCAAAGCTCCAGCTCGGCACTTGCCCCGGTCTCCCCGTGAGCACGGCGTACCGCCGTAGGACCTCCTTGGGCGTGGGCCCGTAGATGATGTACCACTTCAGCCGCTGGCCCTCGACGCTCGTCTGCACGCGGCTGCACCGCTCGCTGCCGATCTCGAGCTCTACTTTCCCGGGCGTGTCGATGAAGACGCCGTAGCCTCGCGAGCTTAGCCAGAACGACACGTTTTTGTACGCTTGGTCGCTCGAGGTGCCACCGTCCGCGTTCCAGAGCGCGATCGATTGCCCGACTTTGTTGAAGGCGCCGAAGCGCTCGCCTAGGCCGTGCACTGTCTCGCCGATGCCAAGCGTCGTCTGTGTGAACATGTAGTGCTTGAAGTCGCGCATGTCCCCTGTTTGCATGGGGCTGCTGGGCGCTGGGCTGTACGCTAGGCCGACGCTGCGGTTGAGCAGAGATGTCAGGCGCTTTGATCCATCTGTGCTGTGGAAGCGTATGTCGAATGTGTGCTGGTCCGGGTGAATTGTTGCTGATAGTGCGCCAGCACTCAGCGTGGTCCCTTTATCGCTTTTGCTGATTTGGGGCTCGATCTTCGGCTGCCCGTCAGGAAAGAGATCGAAGTGAGGGCCTTTGTTGGCTGCGCCCGCCCAGTGAGTCGTCTCAACAGATATAATCCCATCAGATGCTGCTTCTATATCCTATCCCGTGTCTTTGTCAGCTGGAGAGGGATATCTTGCTTCAATTCTAGGACTTACGATGGTTATAGTGCTCTGATTTAGCGTGTCGCCTCTGCTGAAGATTTTACGGTTGGGGCATAGTAGGCTCAGCCACTTTTCTGTCTGTGTGATGTTATACACATCTTCGGCGTACTCGACTCTCATGCCCTCCGCCGTCAACCACATGCCATCACGAAACTTCATGTTGGGTCCTTGATAACTTTAACTGTCGGTTTTTTCGAGGTTTTACACAAGCGAGACTGATACCATCTGCATCTCTAAACAGACAAGAGTCTTGAAATATTCGCTTTCGTGTCACCGCCATACTGGTTAGGCCGTGAGGAGACGGCGATACTACAGAGGCAGGACCCCGCTCTTTTGTGTCTCGACATAAAACTTCCCCGAACCATTGAAGCTTAGTATCAAATAACATTTGAAGCGACGGGATCCGGACCGCGATTGCGAGTGTGGGGTTACCCTGAATGACGTTCGGATAATACAAAATGATTCGTAGGGTGCTCTATATGTAAGTATCGTAGCTCGTCTTGCATGCATGCATCGGAACCATGTCGACTCTACGGTGATGTGGTGAAATATTTCCCATGCGAGACCGCGTTCAGTGCTGTCGTGTTTATTTCGGTAGAATGGCTTCCCACCAATAATGTGAAATCATTCCTTGGAATTTGGGGTTGCAAGCGACTTTATGTTTTCCCCAACAGCGAATCCCCAAATCGCCTCCAAGTTTAGCCCCGGAATGGGTCATCGGGCCCCAGAATCAAGAGCTGGACTGCCTGATAAACCAGGTTAAGGGGCAGGAACCCACGAGCTCGGCAAGTATAATGATGGGAAGTCCTGCAATATATAACAGCTCCGCGCCGATATGTACTGGATTGATGGAACGGTCTTTTCCTTGAGCTGTGATTCCTCCTCCAGCCCTTCTTATCATGATGGTGGGAATGTGGGACTCTGTTGCGGCCGCCTTTGTGGTTCTAACTGCCCTTGCGCCAGTTTCCTTAGGCCAGGGGAACACGACGGTGTACAAAGATGCTCACGCTCCAGTTGAGAGCAGAGTCGCAGATCTGCTCTCGCGGATGACAATCGAGGAGAAGACATCTCAACTAGTCCAAGGAGATCTTAGGAATTGGTTAGACGAAAACACCTTCGCCTTCAACCAAACCGGTCTAGAGTTCAACATGAAGTATCGAGGCGGCCAGTTCTACGTCGGAGTTCCTATACCATGGAACGAGCTCAGCGAGGGCATCAAGAAGGGACAAGACTACCTGATGAAACAAACGAGACTCGGCATTCCAGCATTTGCGCAGACTGAGGGCATTCATGGTTTTCTTATCCCGAATGCCACGATTTTCAACTCGCCGATATCCCTCGCCTGTTCCTTCAATCTGGATCTGGTTGAAAAGATGGGTATAGCCATAGCTAATGAATCCAGAGCATTGGGAGTAAACCAGATATTCGGTCCCGTTGTGGACTTAGCTCGCGAGCTTCGGTTTGGCCGTGTGGAGGAGACCTATGGAGAAGACCCCTATTTGTAAGAGAACATCCTTTCTTACGCCGGACTGAGGAACTAAACATGTTGTATGTAGGGCCGGAGAAATGGGATACGCATACGTGAAAGGTCTCCAGTCTCTCAACGTGACGGCTATGGTGAAGCACTTTGTACGTCTAAGACGCAATCACATATAATGTTGTTCTTTGCTAAGTATATGATCCAAAGGCCGCCTTCGGAACACCCGAACAGGGCGTTAACACGGCACCGGTTCACGGTGGCGAGCGTGAACTTCGAACTACCTATCTTCCTCCATTCAAGCGAGCTATCATTGATGGCAACGCATTCTCGATCATGAGCGCCTATCATAGCTACGACGGGATCCCTGCAGTTGCTGACAAGCATATTTTGACCGAAATACTTCGCGGCGAATGGGGCTATAAATATTTCGTGAGTTTTAAAGTACTTTCATAGGGGCTTGAGTCTGACAAGTGAGAATTAGGTTTCAAGCGACGCAGGAGGTACTGATCGGCTATGTACCTCTTTTGGAATGTGTGAGGCTAGACCGATAGATTCCCACGCAGTCATCAATTATGTGAGTAATCCGTACGTTCCAAGTGTCTAGTTGGAGAGCTGACCTGTCATCGAGGCCCTTCCCGCTGGAAATGACGTTGAGATGGGCGGTGGCTCCTTCAACTTCGAAAAAATCCCCGAAATGGTTGAAGCGGGAACACTGTCAATCGAAGTTGTTGATGAAGCCGTCTCGCGAGTACTGCGCGCCAAATTTGAAGCTGGCATGTTCGAAACTCCCTTTACAGGGGTCGCCGAAGAGGAGCAAGCCGATTACATCCACACGCCAGAGGTTCTTGAGCTAGCACGTCAGCTTGACGCTGAGTCCATCGTTCTTCTTGAGAATCATAATAATATCCTCCCATTGAAAAAGGATGCCAATATCGCCGTTATCGGGCCTATGGCACATGGCTTCATGAACGTGAGTTGGCGATATGTATGTTAAGGCCGCATATGATGACTAACAGAATTTGCTGTAGTACGGAGACTATGTGCCCTACTTATCACAGTATAGAGGTGTAACACCCCTTGATGGTATCAAGGCTGCGAGTGAGGGCACCGTCACCTACGTGAAAGGCTGTGAGCGGTGGTCAAGCGACCAGTCAGGATTCGACGAGGCCATAGCCGCTGCTGAGTCGGCGGACGTCGCTGTTGTAGTGGTAGGAACGTGGTCTCGCGACCAAAACGAACTATGGGCTGGCTTGAACGCGACGACTGGCGAGCACGTCGATGTCCATAGTCTCAACCTTGTAGGCGCGATGCCGCATCTTGTCAAGGCCATTATCGATACAGGCAAGCCAACGGTGGTAGTGTTCAGCTCTGGCAAGCCTATTACAGAACCCTGGATTTCCGATGCCGCTTCGGCGCTATTGCAGCAATTTTACCCGTCAGAACAGGGCGGGAATGCTCTGGCTGATGTGTTGTTCGGCGATGTCAACCCGTCTGGCCGCCTTTCTGTCTCATTCCCTCACGATGTCGGCACCACGCCCATCTACTACGACTACCTCAACTCAGCGCGCGCATCGCCTGATCCGGGCGCCGTATACCCTAACGGCACTCTTGTGTTCGGTCACAACTACGTGCTCTCGACGCCATTGCCACTATATAGTTTCGGCTATGGTCTCTCATACAGCGCTTTCTCGTATAAGAACTTAGTCCTGTCACAGGAAACAGCTTCGGCTAGCGACACAATCACAGTAAGTGTGGACGTAACAAACGGCTCGGACCGCGACGGCGCCGAAGTCGTGCAGCTTTATGTCAAAGACATGATAAGCAGCGTTGTTGTGCCTAATAAGGAGTTGAAGGGGTTTGCCAAGGTCAACATCAAGGCGGGTGCCACTGAGACGGTTAGCATTGAGCTCAAGGTTGAGTCGCTCGGCCTTTGGGATCTGTCTATGAAGTACGTCGTCGAGCCAGGTGCCTTCACCATCGCTATCGGACACTCAAGCAATGATTTACGAGCGAAAGCTACGCTCACAGTTGTTTGAACTTCACCCCATTCACCCATTCACGGGTGTGTCTGTGATATTAGGCAGATCTACTAGAGACTTACATTAATTTGATGGCCACGTCCTACGCGTGCCATTATCGTATCATACGTATTCGGTCGAAGCCTTCTTCATCCCTAGCCGCATCTTGAACGTACATTGTCGTATGATACCTATCAGCTGCGATCAGTTACACCTACAGTAAGTACTATTCGTTCCTCTGCCAAGTATATATTGGCACGGAGCGGTAAAAGAAAAAGTTTGTCTGCGTACAAGGTTGGTTGAATCATGGTATGCCGGCCTGTACAGTATGGTGGTTGTTGTCGTACACTATAGGCGCCCCCTGGCATCATTTGTTGCCTGGTTCAGGGAAGTTCCTTCACATGTAAACCCGCCTCCAATGATATCCAATCGTATAGGTCTCCGGTTTCTGCTCCCCGCTCGCGGTTGGAGAAAAACAAGCTTATTTTGCCCAATGCAGCAATGTAGCAGCCGACTTACCTATCACTTGACGTCTCTTTGCTGCAACCCTACCATTCGTGTGATACTTCGTAGATAACATTTCAAGACGGGGGATTTGGCTTCAAAGGAAACATGTGTCTCGGCGCCATTTCTGATATACGTAGTGTGTAAATGTGTCGACGTCACACCCCAGACTCCCTTTGCTCACAGAAGCCTTCCAGTAGGTAGTACCTATCGGCGAGCCCACTTCGTAGGTATGAGGAATATGTTGTGTGAAATTGAGCTGAAAGCTTGGATATGGATTCGTGGCCCGTATTGGTCTAGAGGCACATTGGGGCAGCGATACCGCTGGCGAATGATGGGTTCAAACCCACTCTGCCTACATGCTCCCTGATCAAGTTTTCCACCTCTGGAGGGTCAATAGAGTAGGCCTTCCCGTCTGGTCTTCCCATCACGTAGGTACATAGTAGCTTGAAAGTCGGTGCCTGTCTGTGCCCGCTAGCCACAAGTCTGCACAAGCGACCGAGAGTGACAAATCGACGGGGTGGCTTCGTTTGCACGGGCGCGGCGAGTGTTGTAGCTGCATTCCGTCCAATCGCGAGTATCTTTTGCTGTGGCGCTACGTCATTGGACTGGTGACTCCTTGAATCCGTGCGACGTTGTATGCTCGTACCTACAGCAATTACTTCGTAGTCTGCTACGTAAGTATGTACAGTGGAAGACGTGGTGTGTCTGTCCAGGGTGAGGAGCTTCAAGCGTTTGCTGGCTAGACTACATAGTAGCTGCTCGAAGAGGTCAACAAAATCAAACAGGCGAGACAGGTTCGAGCTCGCTTGTCCTGATCAGGGCAGAGATCGGCCTGTCTACCAAATCAAGATGATAGTCCCTCTGATAGTCCAGCAACCTAGTGTGCTTCTGGCATTTGTCTTCCCCGCGCATTCCAACCACCGAGCTGCTTTTTCAGGACGTGGACATCGCTCACCATCCCGTGGCAGATCCGTGGCCAAGACTGTGACCTGCTTTCTGGGTCCTTGTTAACCCTTGTCTGCCCTTGTCTGCTCTTGTGCAAGCCACCGAGTGTGCCTACCAGCGTCGTATTGTAACCTCATCATGATCGGATCGAGCCAGGCACCACGGGGAGGAACCGTCACACCGCACACATAATGGGAAGGCGTTGTTTACATACCTTAGGTCCTTGCCTCCTGCTACCTGCAAGTTGGTTGGTGAGCTGGCGGACTGAATCCATACCTCATACCTAGTCCTACATAATATGGATGCTGTCGCATGACAGACCTTTTACCTACTTTGTCTTCCTCTCCATCTCAGTAGGGAAAATCACCATTCTCCTTGGCAGCATCGTGGCTGTTAAATCGCCGTGAAGATGGCGCCGAATACTCAACGCTCTCCAGCACCACGGAGGATTGGTGTTACCATATTTGCTCTCTTGTCACTGCTGGTGCTCGGCATATTCCTCACATCTAACCTCAACAGGCCAGCAAAAAAACATCACTCGGGCTCCGAGTGGACAGCGCGTGCAAAAGCGACCTCTTCAAATGCTCGAGCCGAGGCGAAAGGTGATAAGTATCTGATCGGCGTAGGCAAGGCCGATATCACTGGGCCGACCGGTATGTATCCAAGCTCTATTTATCCGTGACTTCATCACGTTTTTATGGCTTGGATGGATTCATTGCTAACTCATGTGCATGAACTAAGTTGAAATAAACTTTGGCGTATGTCTTCCGGGTGCCTTCACCAGCTCTTGGCAATATGAACTTGTTATTGGCACTCTGATGAGATCGAAGTTATCTACTAACACCGACCTTACAGGGCTATGCAGACATTAGCCAAGTGGGAACTGGGTTGAGACAGAGGATATTCTCACGCGCTTTCATTGTCGGTGATGTAGATAACCCGAAGGACCGATTCGTCTATCTTGTCCTTGACTTGGCAACTGGCGACACGGCTTTGCGAAATGGGATTCTCGACGGCTTGGCCGCCCTTGGTGATGAGTACTCCGTCTACGGCCAGAGCAATGTTGCCGTGACTGGCACACATTCGCACTCCGGCCCTGGTGCCTGGTGGAATTATCTACTCCCACAAATTACAAGCTTTGGCTTCGACAGACAGGGCTATCAGGCTATCGTCAACGGTGCGGTTCTATCGATTAAACGGGCTCACGAGTCCTTGACCGAGGTGGGTTATGAGATCATTGGGTCTTCAATGCTCGGAAACTAATGGTTTCTTTTAGGGATATATCGATTTTGGTAAAGCTGGGTACAAACTTGGCGTATCTGAAACTAGCTAACGGGAGTGTAGGAGCTGTGAACATTTCTGACAGCAACATCAACAGAAGTTTATATGCTTATATGAACAATCCCGCTGCAGAAAGGTCAAGATACACTGATTCTGTAGACAAGGAAATGACTGTACTCAGGTTCCAGCGCGCCTCTGATAGCAAAAACATGGGTATCTTGACGTGGTTCCCTGTTCACGGCACATCCGTCTATCAGAACAACACCCATGTAACTGGCGATAACAAAGGTGTGGCGGAGCTTATGTTCGAGAAGGCGATGCAGGGTGATGATTCTGCCGCGGATGGTTTTGTTGCTGCATTCTCGCAAGCAAATGTTGGCGATACAACCCCCAATACTCTTGGGGCATGGTGAGAATCCGCTGCCAATAATAGGCAAGTCTCTAGATGTAAAGACTAACATCATGCGAGGTGTGACGATGGCTCTGGCCAGATGTGCAGCTACGAGAATGCCACGTGTGCTGATGGCAAGTCTCAATCCTGCCATGGGCGCGGACCTGCCTTTGAGAAGCTCGATCTTGGTATATCGAGTGCCTATGAAATAGGAAAACGACAATACAACGGAGCTCGATCGGTTTATGTATGTAACCTGTTCATTCTCCAATAACGTCAATCACTCACCTTAGCTACACAGGACAGCCTTGACTCTGCGGGAACCGCTGTCGTCGGTTCGACCGTCAAATCATTCCATTTCTTTCACGACATGACCTTCTGGAAATTCCAGCTAGAAAATGGGCAACAGGTACAGACTTGTCCCTCTGCGCTTGGATATTCGTTTGCCGCAGGCACCACGGACGGTCCAGGACTTTTTGATTTTACGCAAGGCGACTCGGGTGAGCCAAGTGCCAGTCCTGTTTGGGAGGTTGTGAAAGCATTGCTCCGTGAGCCCTCAAAGGAGCAGAAAGCTTGTCAGCAGCCGAAACCCGTACTCCTCGATGTCGGTGAATTATCCGTGCCTTATGCATGGAGCCCGAATATCGTCGATATCCAGGTATTCCGTGTAGGACAATTCGTTATCATTGTCAGTCCGAGCGAAGCCACAACAATGGCCGGTCGCAGGTGGCGTGCCGCGATCAAGGCGGCAGCCGAGGACATCACTGAAGCAGAGCCCAAGGTCGTCATTGGTGGCCCGGCTAACACATACTCCCATTACGTTACTACGCCTGAGGAGTATGACATTCAGCGGTATGAGGGAGCTAGCACACTCTTTGGCCAACACGAACTGGCCGCATACATCAACCTCACCGTTAGCAATATGAAATACCTAGCACCTGATTCGACGAGCTCTCCACCTCCGGGCCCTAGCCCTCCTGATAACCGTGGTAAGAGTTTGTCATTTATCACGGGAGTGGTACAAGATAACGCTCCTCTCGGAAAGAAGTTCGGCACTGTGATAACCCAGCCAGCGTCGACATATGCCCGTGGCGCTGTGATCAGTGCAGTTTTCGTAGGCGCGAACCCACGCAACAACCTTCGCCAGGAGGGCACGTTTGCCGCTATCGAGCAGTTGGGCGCCGACGGTAGTACTTGGACACAGGTCCGCGACGACACCGACTGGTCTCTCGTGTATTCCTGGAAGCGCACCAATGACCTCCTCGGTTACAGCGAGGTCACCATATCTTGGGAAACCGAGCTCGAGGCTCAGCCTGGTACGTACAGGATCAAGTATTACGGCGATAGCAAGGCGCTGCTCACTGGCGCCATTACCGCGTTCACGGGAACGAGCAATAGCTTCAAGATCACATAGATTGTGGAATTGTAATATGCGAGTTGTTGAGAGGAGAATGCACATGCGATAGAAGATTCTGTAATTAGCTGTATCCTAATAACCATGAGCAATCGCGTCTTTGGAATTCAGCTTGATCTCGCATCCCTTTATCACAGTGAAATAAGCTTATGTTCCACGAATATGGTTACGAGATTTGTCCAGTGAGGAGATCTTAATTCAATATATATACATTAATAGAAATGGCGAGAGTCCTCGACAGCCAGTATTCCCCATCCCCAACGCTGCTTGTCTCAATGCAACCAAGCAACAAGCTTCCTGCTCGCCATTTACGCATTGTGTATGCCGCGAGACCCATTGGTCTCAAAAAAAAAAACACATTTTTCTTATCGATCAGAATACGAACGTCCTTTCCCCTTCCTCGTTCCATTCTTTCTCTTTCCATTTATTTTCAGGCCAAGTTATAATCAAGTTGAGTGGAGTAGCGTAGAATAGAATGGCGTATACTAGAGGTTCAAATACACTTGGAAGACGACCTCGTCATTTATTCCTGCCCCTGCCCCTTTCCACCGAAGTACTTCGCGTCGTACAGGTTCCAGAGCTCATAGTCTACTGCGCATCCTACCAGCGCTGCGGCCGCGAGAGTCGCGCGGCCCCGCGGCGTCGCTGCTAGACGGCGCAGGAACCCTGGTGTTGCTGTTGCTGTTGTGGGATTCGATGTGGATGTGGATGTGGATGTGGATGCGCTGCGGTAGGTAGGAACAGAGATTGGGAGTGGGAGCTTGGGTGTTGGGCGTCGGGTGGGGAGGTTGTGAGGCATTGCTTTTGGTGCCTGATTTGCTTCGATTGGTGGTGGTTGTCTTGGAGTTTGGGAAATCACTGGTGACTTTTATGATTTGATTGTTTGGGTTTTGGTGCGAGATGTGATGTGATGATGTGTTTGGATGATAATTTGATCTTGAGACTACGTGCGTATTTATATCATTTTGAAAGCCCTCGGCTTTTCCCTTCTTTTCAATTTTGTTCTCCTGGCGTCGTTATTCGCGTTATGGTCGTCGTGTTGAGATGTGCTTGATGTTCTGACTGACTGAGTGACTAACATGATTAGGAGTAAGGCTTGGCAGTTACTATGAGCTATCGTCACGCAGGTCACACTTGATGCAAACAAGTTTTTTTTTACATAACGTAAACGACTCATCATACGCATAAGGGAAACGATGAAATTATATAAATTATTTCAAATTTGAATGACAAAAACATAACGTATAACTATGGGTATCTCTGATGTTTTTAACGCGTCTAGCGCTACTCTAATCGATCTGCTTGCCATCTACCTCTGGTACGATGCAACACAAACCAATGACGTGAGCCAATCCAATCTGTCTGTCTGTCTGCTAGAAAATATACCAATTTGGTAAATGACAAGTTGCTAAGATACAGAAACAATAGGATCTACGTCTTCTCAAACCTAATGTCAATCAATCTCTTCCTAAAATTGTAGAGTAGATGGGGAGTCCTCATTGGGTCGTAACAATCTAGATGATGCCTGCCTATTTCAGTGAAATTAAGTGGATGAATAACTCTTTTCCAAGTCGATCGTGAATCGTTAAAATCAAATTACGTTGTCAGTCATCGTGATATGTCTAGGCGCCGACACTAGCTAGCCGCTGGTGCTGCTGTTCGGGCTGGGGAGTAAGTCGACGGACTAGATCCGGCACACCAACGCGGTCGGCCATTCGGTCTGGGATTAGATCCGGCGACACCGATCGAATGGGGTATTCCGTCGCGGGAGTTGCGCGCAATAGGCGGGATGTCATAGGTTGAGGAGCGAGGATTGTGGGGGATTGAACCTCGTCCACAACAGTCTTAGGAATAGGAGCCGGCGCGGGACCAGTCCGGATGCTTGAGGGCAGAATCTGCTCGAAACCTTGCTCCCTTGCCACACACTCAATACTCTTGAAGTACTGCACGGTATTATATTAGTATATGAGTAGGTGAGTAAGGAATATCAGGACAACCAACCTTCACGGTCTTTACTTGAAGCTCTAATGTGGCATCCTCGTCGCACACAATCATGGGGTGAGGATGAAGTTGAAGACTGGAGAGGGTCCACATGTGGTTCACACCTTGCTCAATGCACTTCTGCAGAGCTAGGGACTTGCGTGCACCGAGGATGATGATGACGACTTCCCTGGCCTCAAGGATGGTCTGGACGCCGACGGTCAAGGCCATCTTAGGGACCTTGTCCACGTTGTTGTCGAAGAAGCGTGAGTTGGCTAAGATGGTGTCATATGCAAGAGTCTTGACGCGAGTCCTGGAAGCTAAGCTGGAGCCGGGCTCATTGAAGGCAATGTGGCCGTCCTCGCCAATGCCACCCAGGAAGAGGTCGATGCCTCCGGCACGCTTGATTTTGTTTTCATACTCAACACATTCGGCCTCAAGGTTGGGCGCGTTGCCGTTGAGAATGTGCACATTGTTGGGGTTTACGTTGACATGGGAGAAAAAGTTCTTCCACATGAATGAGTGGTAGCTCTCGGGATGGTCCCGGGGAATACCCACGTACTCATCCTACAGTTGATGTTAAGACTATGATATGGCGGACTCAGTATCCAACGATAACACATACCATATTGAATGTGACGACATTCTCGAAAGAGATCTACGAAATAACCGTCAGCCATCTATTGTCGTCTCTGATACACTAGTGATAACGTACTAATCCGGCCTTATACTTCTCGACTAATATTCTATACACGCCAAGCGGGCTGGATCCTGTCGGCAGTCCAAGCACGAATGGATGTGAAGGGGTAGGGTTGAAGTGGCGGATCCGGTCGATGATGTAATTGGCCACATAGGAGCTGGCCGTTTCGGCATCGTCGCGGATGATGAGCCTCATGTTGACGACGGTAGTACCTGAGACTAGAAGATGAGGACTAAGGATGGAAAGAAAGGGTCTAAGGTGGTATCAAACACGAGCTGAAATGTATCGGTGTGCCTCGTGTCGGGTGGTTCTGTGCTTTGAAAATGTAGGAGTTTGCAGAAGAGCAGCCGTCGACACTGGCTTCATAGCTGTTATGAGGGGCGGGCATTGTGTATAGTGGCAAGAGATGACACAAGTCCATGGCAAGTCGATGGCGCTGACCGCAGGAACGCCCCCAGACATAATGAAACGTTTTGCTCGAGTGAAAACGACGGTCCACCAAACACAGCAGCGAATTCAAGCATGTTCGAGTTGTCTTGGGCCACAATGGCGAGGGTGTGAAGCACCAGGTCCACCGCCATAGAACGTTGTATCGTAGCGTGCTAGCTTGCTTCCAAAGCTTCCACGACCAGACACGACTAACGTCGCTCACGTGTGAGGTCAGTCAGTCGCCCGGTCGTGTGGGACGATACGGCACCTGGTTGGTCGGCCTGCTTTGTCCGACTAACTGGCCGATCTTGTCAACCTGCCTTCTACGGCGATCTCGGCATTATTCAGGCATCGAGCGGCTACTGTAGGAAGCTCTACTAGTATTACGGTAGCGTACTAAGGATGTCGAGAAGGACTTGGTCTAACGGATTTGGTGCCGCAGAGAGCCCTGGTAGTCGCTGTCTGACACCTGGGCTAATGCAGAGTTACTACGTTCCCGTGGCGGGGAGCAAAAGCGGCCTCGGCTCGAGAGCCCAAAGATGAAGAAGGGCCGCGATAAGGACATGTACATGGGTGTTGTTGGTTCGATTACCTACACGGTAAGCACAGCACAGCACACGACACGTCTTCGAGAAGCAGCATGGAACTCGAAGTAAAATATGATCGAAGCCGGCCACTTTTGTTATGGGTCTCGACAGAGCCTCAAGGCCAGATGAGGAATAGGGTCGACCCATGAGTTGGTGCCATGACACGTTTGCAATGTATGTGCGCACGTCTGGATGCATTAGCCGTGTTGCTGGTAAATGGGAAATGGTAAATTTAGCAGCGGTCGTGGTCGCGGTGGCGGCACGGTGAAGGTGAGGAGAGACAGAATCCGCGCGCCTGGAGTCAGAGTTCGTTCATTCGCCTCAGCAAGCCCGTCTCTGCCCGTCCAAGACCCGTGCCGCCGTGCGTGCGCCGCGGGTTCAGGAACAATAGATGAATCCTCGAGGCGATTGTGGTCGGTGATTCGTAGATTACGATGTTTCGCAGCGGAGCATGGGGTCTGATGGGGGTTGGAGACGCTGGACAGGCCTGGCTGACTCGCAGGGGTGTGCCGGCCGGAGATCTCCTGCTCTCCTCCTCTCCTCTGCCCTGTCTCGCCTGTCTCCTCGTCCTCCCTTTTTCCCTACCAGGCTACCACCACACACTTACATGTATGTGGATAGGTCAGAGGTATGAAGGTACTAGATACCCAACGGTATCTATCTTCTGGGATCACCAGCCACATTACCCAGGACAGCCAGAATACCGATGCATTTATTGCTCTCCAAAGCTGACCTCCAGCCTTATTAATCGAATACTACCCAACGCAGGTATTCCCGTAGATATAATTGCATCATCCGGACAAGCGGCTGGCTGTACAACGACGAGTCTGCGTTTCTTCTAGATCAAGGGGCAATGCTACAACACACACAGCACACGCAATTATGACTTCGTAAGTACAGTCCTGTAGGAATTAACACCATGTTCGTAAGTACATACGGTATTCGCCCTGTGGCTCGTGCGGTCTGTCTCGGATGATCCCTGTTCCCTGAGAGAATCATGTAATCACGTACTAAAAGAGCTTGATTGATATGCCGTAGTAACAAGCACAAAGTCTACACTACCGACCTACAACGTTACATCACATTTAGGAACTGCCATCTCCCCATCCATCCCACTTCGCCCATCGCCCATCTCCCGTACATTGCATAGCATAGCATACGCTACTGTTGGCATTGACACTGCGCGGAGGCGTTGGAAGCAGAGAAAAGAGCGAGCCAGCCAGCGTGGGAGAGAGAGACTGTGCGCAGGTAAACAGTACACACCGCTTCTAATCTAATTGGCATCTTAATTACCTAGCATTAGCATTAGCACCCAGCGAGACGGTCAGAGATAGAAAGAAAGACCTGCCTGGTTGCGTGTCATTTCCCACATTACCGTTACAGTAACACTTGCTGCACCCCTTTGATTAGGCCGATTAAGACCATCATCGTGTAAGTAGGTACTCTAACAAACAGATCGTGAGTGAAAGCGAAGATCCAGTAACTGTCTGTCTGTCTGTCTGTCTGTCTACCGCTTACCGTACGTAGGTACCGGTATCTCTAAGTACACGCATATCAATCTCAAACCTATCCTATCCTATCCTATCGCATCCTATCCCCCATCCCATCCCATCCCGTCTCCCCCAGCCAAAGTCACCTGCCTAGGCCAGTATTGCTGGCGACACCAGATCTTCTGGCCGGCCCCGTTTCGCCCCGTATTGAATGTGCCATCCAGCTGCCCTGTGCTCCTTCTATTCGGCCCTCCCAATGATGTTCGAAGGGTCTTCTGTGGTGCTCTCTGTTCTCTTTTTACCCCCGCTAGTCCATGTGAACTAACGTCTCAAGCGCCATCTTATTTTCCCGTTTCCCCTGTTGTAGCTTGTAGCTTTCGGGAAGCTCGATTTGCCTTCCTCTCGTTACGGGCAGGGGTTCGTTCTATCCACAACTTCGTATTGGACACAATTGGCAGAGGTTACTTGGTGCTCGTACTGTTATTATATTATCGTTGCTATTGTTAGTTTCGTCGTCGTCCCGTTACTCGACTACTGCTACACTACTGCTACTACGCACACTATATCATACCATACCATAAGGTACTATACTATTGAGTACCTGCGTTTATCTGATCTGATCTACATCGCTTTGGCGCGTTGCTGTCTTACATGAGAGGGTATCATCAATCCGTTTATCCATCTAAGCCAACCACTCAGCCAACCAACAAAAGAAAGAGACAACCCCCTTTGCCTCTCTTGTTCATTACCTACTAGATTACCGACCTATTATTGTATCTATTGCTGCTGGTACTGCTACCTATTGCCTGCACCTCATTCGCTCGTATATTGCATCACTTATTCGTGCTGTAACTTACCTTTTGGGGTCGTTGCCCTGTCCTGTTACCTGCGTTTTCTTCTCCTGCTTCCGAGCTCTGCGGTTGGCTCTGTGTCGTCTGTCGTCCCATCTGGAGGGATCCGTACATGGTCCAGATCCAACCATCGGGCCGCCCATCAGTATCGACATACACACATCGCATCGTCGCAGCAATCTGTTCTGCCGGCAGGTTTCATTCTCAGTCTTTGGCCCTAGCCCTTCTTCTCTCTTAATTTACCGCTTATACGAGAGTCTCGACGCGGCACCCCCCCTCTGAGACAACCGTACAACATTGACGCTTGCTTGGCTTAATATTCACATGGTACCTCTACATTCCCACCTGTCCCAAGACATGGCAAGCGTTGCTTGAGAGGGCAGATCTTATTCCCAATCGGCCTCTTTCTCTCTCGCTCTCACTTACGTACACAAACACACTCTCTCACTTACATCGTCGGTGCGTGGTGGTAAATCGAGGGCTAGCCGTATCCCGACCTTCATGTTTTAAATATATATCAACCCCACCCCCCACCACCCGAAGAAAAAGAGAAGGAATAGTCGTTCTCTTTCTCCCCCCTTGTCATGCGGCCACTCGCTTCTGCAATGACAACACTGAGAAAATCGTTACTGGCGGCTCTCAAGTCGTTCCTCCGGGGCAAGTCCTTCCTCCAGGTGTTATTCGCATTCTGGATAAGCCCCCGAAAGTTAAAAGAACAAGATACCAATGGCAGGCCAATCAAGGTTTCTAGGACCATTGCCGAGTTCCTCAAGGAAGCAGAGAAGCTGCTGTTAAGTCCCATTGAGGGGGACCGATTGAGGACGTTCTCATCAGATCTCAAGGCCCAGTTCCGTGAGCGGTTACAGACACATCCCGAATGTATGTTACCGTCTTTCAACCACCTCCTGCCTACAGGTAAGGAGGTCGGCCAATATCTAGCCCTCGATGTTGGGGGATCGACGTTACGCGTTGCGTTAGTCGCGTTGAGGGGAAGGGAAACCCGTGGGCGAGAATGTGAGATTGTGCGGATGATCAGCTTTAAGATCACACCCGAGATCAAGAGGCTCGAGGGCATGGCATTCTTTGACTGGATGGCGATGCGGATACACGAGGTGATTCATAAGGACGAAATAGCAAAGACCCAGGACCCGATACCTATGGGATTAGCATGGAGTTTCCCCGTTGAGTAAGAGATCTCCAGTTCCTGCATATACATTCCCACGTATACTAACAAACCGGTCCTCCAACAGGCAAATATCATTAGGTGGTGGCCTATTAATGGGCATGGGCAAGGGTTTCCTTGCTACCAGTGGCCTATTAGGCCAAGATCTGGGAGGAATCATCCAATCTGCCTGCCTAAAGCATGGTCTGAACGTTCAACTCGCCTCCATCATCAACGATGGCAGCGCGACCCTTCTATCACAGGCTTACACTCATGCTGAAACACGGTTCGGCCTGATCCTAGGCACAGGCACTAACATAGCCGTGCACCTCCCCGTATCAGCAATCGGCCGGTTGAAATACGGCAGGCGCCCCAAGAGCTGGTTCGACTCGGCTAGCCATGTCATCGTCAACACGGAATTGGGCATGTTCGGTCACGATATCCTCCCCGAGACGCGGTGGGACACGCTCCTGAACGCCTCGCATCCCCGCCCGGAATTCCAACCACTCGAGCACTACCTTAGCGGGTACTACTTGGGCGAGATCTGCCGGCTCGCGATCGTCGAAGCTGTCGAGACAACAGGCTTGCTCGGCGGCGAGTTACCGCCGTCGCTCACTGAGCCTTACTCCCTCGACACCGAGATTCTCTCGCGAATGGAAGCGTTAGTACACCCCCCACACACGAAAACATTTCTCCGTAGGATCGAGAAACTAACACTCAATCCTCTCACAGCGACACCTCATCCACGCTCGAGAAAGCCCTTCTGGCATTCACATCCGCACACCCCTGTCCTATACCCGCCACCCCAGCCGACATAGGCGCCATCCGGACGCTCGCGTCATTCATCTCGCGGCGGTCGGCGGCGCTCCTCGGGGCAGCGGTGTTCTCGCTCTGGGAGCTGCGGTACGAGACGGCCGCGGAGCAAGCCTGTGAAGAGGAGAAGCCCGTAGCATCAGCGACGACAGCAGAAGAAGATCTCGCGACGCCGCCGCACACCAAGGTCGCCTTCAACGGCTCCGTCATCGAGCACTACCCAGGCTATCTGGGCAGATGCCAGGCCCACATCACGGGGCTCGTCGCGGGCGCCGGAAACCCCGTGTTGGCCGCCGGCTCGATCGATCTCGTGCCCGCGGTCGAGAGCTCGATTATTGGCGCTGCTGTCGCGCTGGGTTGCGCGCTTGCTGAGGGTCAGACATCGTGAAAGTTTTTATCAGCCTATCATATAGGAGGGAATGACCTGGGCGCGGGGGGGTCTTGCATATACCTTACCTACCTACTTACTTACTTACCTGCACCATACCGTTGCTGAGTTTTTGTGCAAAGAAAAAAAAAACCATTTTTAACACCCATCATCGCCATTGTCTTATGCATCATGATGATAAGTAACGATTATACCATGCTATGTTGTTTTATCTGATATTATTCATTCTTTTTCTTCTCTTGAGGGCAGAGTTAAAGAGGGGAGGGGAGGGGAGGGAAGGGACCTCGAAATAAAATACCCTGACCTCGTAGGGAAGCGATAGCACTTAAAGCGAGCAAGAAATCTTCCTGAAAAGAAAAGAGGGGGTTTGGTTTTCGTTTTCGTTTTACTTTACTTGACTCTCTTGGATCATAACCCCTTGCATAGTTCTTGATTTTCATCTTCACCTTATTTGCAAAGATATTTCTTACCTTCTATATACCTACGGGGGTAGATGCCAAAGGAGCTAGGTAGTCTCTCACTTTTTTTTTTTTTTTTTTTTTTTTACGAAACGCTGTATATACCACAACAACACATGCATACATACATACATACATACCCATAGAGGGAAAATACATATATATATATCTGAACAAATGTCTGGTTCTTTATTTATGATTATCAACACACATCGGAACAAAATTTCCAGCGGGATACCGGTGTCCTTAGACACGCAACAGTAATTGCATCGAATATGTATAAGGCTTGCCTGACAACCAGCAACCAATGATTACTCCGAATTTCCCCTATATTCGCCCAATTTGGATACAAGAAGCCAGTAATCCAAACGACACAATGCTTCTCTCCCTTCTTATGAGTATCTCATTGGGCAGGGTAGGTAACCTTGCTGACTTGCCCAAGGTCCTTATGCACAGAACAACTAAGTTCGCAACAGCATCAGGCACCCGCGTGCAAAGCATATGAATATCAAGCCTAATTCCCACGTACAAGCCAACCGCAGCCATAACGTTACGATGCTCGAATCAAGTCACACGCGGACACGGCACAAAAGCATTCGCAGAGTCGAAGAGATATCAAAAGGGGGTATATTGATTGACCTATGCCAGGCTTCGGCACAAACCATTTTGGAACGCCACGAAACCGGCCGAGGTGAAAAAAACCGCAGATATCCAAACCAAGACAAAGTATACTACTACAAAAGAGCCAGCCAGCCAGCCAGCTCAACCAATCGCCGTGTAGCTAGCTAGCAGCCTAGACAAAATATGATGGATGCCAAAACGTAAACCAGAAAACTTTAGAAGAAGAGAAAAAAAAAGATACATGAATTTTCCCCTCGTCATGCAAGAAACCTAATTGTCGTGGTCTCATACCGCAGTCGTTAAAAAACGGACCGTTTCCCATATCTTCATCTTTCCGCCTTCTCGCTCGAGCCCAATTCTTTGAACAGAAAAAGAAAGAAAAAGGACCAATTGGATTGGTTCATTCAGCAGAGAAATATCTCTTCGACTTGCTCCTGATCTGCTGTGCTTTTATTTCTTGCGGGAGAGATATATGATGTACAAGATGCGGGCGATATACTGTTTCAACAAGCGGTGTCCTTTTAAAAAAAAGAAATCGTTAGCAAGCGCTATCCCTGTATGGATGAATAAGAAGGACTAACCAATCATCTACACTCAGTGGGAAATATTCGTACAATTCCTCCTCTTCTTCCCCTGGGCTGCCTCCCATGGCATGCATCGTTGATGTCCGTTGTACTTTGGGACTTGTTAAGGAGTCTGTAGTGGAGCGGTTGTTCGGGCTGCGTTCGTCCTCGGAGAGCGATAGGGTGATCGGGGCGGACACAGTGGGTGTTGAATTCTTCAGATTCCTGTCCCAGTTGGCCACCTTGCCAGGACTTTCCTGGCTCCATCCTGGTACAGGCGGTCTGTTCGGATTTGGTGACATGGCCATCCTTTTGGCTGGATGCTGCTGAGTGTTATGTGCATGTCCCGGTGTTGGAGGAGGAACCCAGTCGCTTGGCCGAGTATTGTTGTGTGACGAATATTGATTCAAACCTTGTATTGAGTCTGTCTTTTCTGTCTTGAAATTCGGTGTAGGAGCGGCGCTTGCGTCGCTTTGTGTACGAGCCTTCTCGCCATTGTTGGGCACCTTCTTGTCTCCCGTGAGGGGGACGTCTTTCTTACTGTCGAAGTTCCGGGGACTTCGTCCGCGCACAATTACAGGACCGCTCTGGATATCGGCGATTTTCATCATCTCGCCGCTCGCCTTCATTTTCCCTAAAAGGCTTATTTGCACCACATAATGCTGTTGCAAACCTTTCCGGCGCCCGTTGTTCGCTGTGGCACTCTTAAACTGCAAGCGTTTCCATGACACCGGCAAACTGACCCGGTGCCCATCAATGTCTTGCCCACCGCCCAGATCTAGTAAAATTTTTGGCGGCGCACCCTGCACTTTGGTTTCCTGACCCTCGCCAAGGGCTGGGTTACTGCTCTTCCATGGTATACTGATGACTTCGGTCGCCTTTCCCTCAATGCTCTCTATGGCTGATATGGAGGCGTAAAATTCCACAATAGGGATGGCGCGTCCTTGTTCATTCATGACTTGAGTGCAGTGCCTCGGCATGACGATCTGTCCGGAACACTGCCAAAGATTCCGACGGTAGCAGGTCAATTCTAGGGGGCGGCCCGTCGTCTCCCCGCCAAATACATCCTCGGCTACGAAAAACATGCCATATAGCTCGGCTGTCATGTTGACGTCGGAGTATGCGCCTAGGGCGTCATCCAAAGGAGTAGCCTTGACGGACGTGAGCGAGAAGCCGAGCAATTTATCGTCGGGTTGTTGGGGTGATGACCCTTCATCGTGCAAAGCCTCGGGGTGCGGTGTATTCTCGTAAGGTCTCGCGTAATTGAAAGGATCTTCGAAGGTGGTCGTAAATGTATCGAAGTCAACAGATGGTGTGAAGGCGAAGGGCGGGATATTTCCATTAACAGTTTCTCTACCGAATTCTTAGCATTGCATGTAAGACAAAGCCGGTCTCCCTTTACACTCTAGCTTCTTTGCAGCAATTGTAAGGGATGAACCGATCACTCGGGACCAGACTTACAACATGGCATCATCAAAATTTATCTCGGCATCGAAACTCTCGATCCCGAGCCCATGACCGGCCATAGCAGGATTCAATCCTATGGTCTCGCCAGAATTAGGCGCCGGCATCGAGTTATAGGCCGCCATTTCATTGTAGGGGCCGGCAGCCCCTGCTTCGGTGCTCTGCCTGAATTCGAATACAAACGCTGTCGCACGGTTGCCGGTATTGAAGCCGTGATTTCACCTGTCCTGTTGTTTCCATAAAAGGGGGGGTTGTTTCTAAGAGGGTCGGACACCGTCGGTCTTCAATTTGTCGCGACGGTGCTCAACAGTAGCGCGCGGTTCTGACAGCGAACTGCCTAGGTAGGTAGGTAGTTAGGTATTTGCTCGTTATGCCGCACCGTTGACTGACACCGAGTAGGCAGATATGATGATGTGATGAAACAATCGATCGAGCCACCAAACAAACTACGTAGTGTGGTTTCGCGCAAAGCAGCGAGCGGCATACAGAAAATAGAACAGGCCAGAACTTGTGCAGCCGTTGAGCAGACAAGCAGACCAGCAGCGACAAACGACCAGCGGTACCTGGGCTGTGGACACTCTCGAAGGTGGAGAATCGTGGGATCTGGCGATCACTTCGTGGCTGGAAGATATTCTGGCTGGGCGAGCACTACGCTGCACTACATAGCACGTACAGCACCTACCTATACTGGGCCTACTATAGGGCGCTAGTAGGGTAAGTGCTCTAAGAAAAGTGGTGTTAAACGAAACGGCTCTGGGGCAAGGGCCCGGGGTCTAGCGCAGGGTCGTGAGAAACGCAGAGTGTCATTGGGTGCCAGGTTTACAGTCAGTAGCGACGAGGAGGCCATTGCCGGCCGTCGGTCACGATCAGGACATACCACACCAGTAGATCAACCAGCATCAACCTACTCGCTCGTCACATTGATCTATCTACGTTGGTGAGATGACATCCAGACCATCAGGTCATACGCGCGAGATCATGTCTCAATAGTGGCAAAAGGAGGGGTGGTGGTCATCTTCAGTCAAGAACTTTCTTATCTCTTGGGGGTCGTCGCGCAAGATAGGAAGTCTGTGAGAGAGCCAACCTCCTATACATCAAGTACATACATAAGCTACTTACATAGTATGTAGGTAGTAAAGAGGTTGCACGGCGATAGAGCGAGGTACTATAGTACCGGTATGTAGGGTCTATCTGGTGTTCAGCTCAAGCAGGCTACTTGCTTACCTATCTCCTATTTCCTACCTCCTGACCTCCTACCTCAAAGCAATGAAGGGAGTTACGCAGGCAGGCTAAGTAGGTACCTACTACTACTATACATAATAGGTAAATACACCGCCGGGCTTGATATTAGTGTAGACTCGGGATCGGCGAGATGATAGGTACGGACAGTGAAGGGAGCTCGGGGAGATAGATAGAGAGCTTGCAAAGAGCAGCAGCCTCGCTATCAGTCCGGGGCAAGTGTCCTGGTTAGCGCGAGATGAATTGGGGAAGCGTGCTAGGTAGCTTGAGTGCTACTACAGCACCTCCCTAGAGTCTGCTAGAGGTAGTACACCCCCTTCTACACCACCACCAACGTCAGACCGGGTACCTACCTATCTAGAGATTGTTTTCACCTTCTACACTGGACCACATTCGACGTCGCAGTGGAGATGGGGGAGGACAGAAGGTTAGGGTTGGCGACCGGGATTTGACCTTCGGATATCGGGAGTTGACGACATTGAACGAATGACATCGCGAATAGTAACGACCATCATCTCGGCCCCTCCTATGCCCCGCGCTCAAGCCCCTGTAGGGAATCCCGCCTGTCACTCATTAGTCAAAGCGCCGTCTTCCTCGGTCCTACTTCACATGCTCAATTGCGCCGGCGTCAAGGGTCACGATGCCCTTGAGGCTTGAACATGACCTCCGGGATGGATGGATGGATGAATGATGATGATGATATGGTTCCCGCTTGGAAGGAAGTTGCACTTCATTCCGTTCCCGGAGCCAAGAATGATGAGAATTGACACCCGAGCAGTAGGCAGCACATGGCACAGTACAGTGGGTGTATATCCGAAACTGCCAGCGTTATCATGAGCCACAGCAGCTGCTATTTTCGCTGATGGATCGTGGCGAAGCTGACGACAACGGGGCTGATAGTAAATTGGAAGGGGCTGAAGGATTGGTGGTACGCTCTACGCTACTTGAAACCGCCAGAGTAATACACAACATCAAGATAGCGATAATGCATCCGGTTTCCTGATTTGCTATCTGCAGCCGACAAAACAGAGTGCCTACTTGTGAACCTACGTAGTAATTATACAACGGTCTCTGAACTAAGTAATTGGAAAATCACATTTGCCCTCTCTCATCGCTTCATGGGAAAATCGTCATAAACTCGAACAACATGGTCGCATAATCGTTCACTCCATACTTTCTTATGTAAAGTCGTAGCAAGTCGTCCCCAAAACTGGACACAGATGGATAGAGTCTTTACACAGTACGAAGAGCCGTTTACAACAAATAGTTGCTGGCTCTAACTTAAGTCAAGCCACTAGTATCCTCAATGTCAGCACTCAAGAATGAAGGGAAGGGAATGCTCGAGGGGACTGTGCTCGTGCTTACATGTTCTGGTGAGTTCACCACCTCGTCAAATGTCTGTTGAACCTCGAACCCCATGGCCGAAAAGAGCTCATGTGCCTCGCCCGGAACCTGTTTTCTGTCAGCTATACACACCGGAAAAACCAAGCCATCATTGCTACTCACCCAGCTCAGGACGCTCTTTGTCGACTTTTGTGATTTATTCTGTCTCAACCCCACGAAGACTAGCCCTTGCATTACCAAGCTCGACTGGGTCGTAGTGGGAACAACTGGGGCAATAATGCCGCCAACCTCCTGGTTCCCCTGAGCGTGGAGGGATGGCATATATGCTGATAGACGACTTGATTTACTGCAGATGATGACAACGCCCAGCACATTGTCCAGTGCGGCTTTAGCTCTAACCACACCACAGTGCTGGTCGTGCAAAGCCGACCGGTAAAGCTCGACAATCTCGGGCCCCGAATGTGCCGCTACGAGAGCCAGGACGGATTCGCTGTTGTCCATCGATCTAATCAAGTCGAAGCTGATATTAGCCCGCTGCAGGCTTTGCAATAGACCTTCCGGCGCAGACCAAGACCCAAGATCTTCGATCACCATATTGGCCAGTCGCTTAGGGAACTGCGTATCCCAGCCGATGTTGTCGAACCAGCTCCTAATACTACCACTCTCATCAACTGGCACGCCCGGGAAAATGCCCGGATAGGCAAGCCCCAATTGTATTTTCTTGATTCCTGACTTTTGTAACAATGATCGCATGGCTCGCCGATGCAGGGATCTCCCCACCGATACGTTCCGTTTCGAGGGGTCCACGAATATTGCTCCGATTATACCAACATTCTTAATGAAGTAAGTCGCAACGAAGCCATACAGCATGCTTGTGCTGCTGTTTCGAACAACGAAGTGGGATTCCTCAAAATTCGAATCATGGAGCTCGAATGAGGCAGCAGTCGTAGCGATGTACGGCAAATTCGGCGTGCTTGATCTAGCCAATGTTCGGAGTAATTCATCCAGGCCGTTTTCGTCCCGGCTTCGCTCGTAGTTCTCAACAAGCCACTGCTGTCTTGTCTTCGTCATCCTCTTGTTCTTCCTCATTGTCCCTGGCATCGACCCTTGCGGAACAAATTCTCCATACAGAGCTCGTACAAGTGAAGCCATTGCTGTTTCTGTGAAGTCAAATGTGCAGACATAAGTGCCGATTAGTTTTTCCATAGCGAAGTCATATGGTGAACTAACTGCTACTACAATGAGTGACTTCTTCTGTCCCGTTCCGCGAAGCATTTGGCACATCATGGCTACGTGCTTCGTGAAACCATTTTGATACATGTTGCGGTTGGCGTCGGCAGTTACTATGATAATGGCAGACGCTCTGTTTATGAGATTTTCATGTACTAATAGCGTCAGCTTGGTCAGCTTCTGAACCAATTGAGGTGGTTACTTACCTGGCCTGAGACCGTTGGCTGTGTACGAAGTATGAAGGAGCTTGCCATTGCGAATACGTGCCAATGACTTGCCGAATTCCCGGAATACACCTTCCCCAGTCATGATTGTTCCGCGTTCAAAATGGGCATATTTCTCATGCAAAGTTGTAAGTTTTCCGTTGCCTTTCTCCATCATGCTTTTTGTAGCTGCCGAGGCAGGTAAAGGCTTTACGAGCGGTGTCAATAACAGCAGTTCCTCTCCCTGAAGCAGGCTCTCTGATAGGGGAAGAAGGTTGTCCTTATCCCGTACTATTGTGATCGACTGATCATAGGCCTTATGTGACAGTGCGAGATGCGAGGGGTGTATCTTAGACAATAGAGACAGTCCTGGGGAATTAAGCGCCTTTTCCCACGATGTGCAAGCACTTTTCATTTTGAGAACCCGCCGCAAGGACGTGTAGATCCTCTTCTTTGAGATAATGCCATTCTCAATGCCCAATTGCAGGCCAGATATAGCTTCTAGCTGGATATCGTGCGCCCGGCAGAGAAGGATCAGGTCATTACCTGCTTCGACGGCCATGACAGTGCCTCCTTTCACACCATATTCTTGGATTAGTGATTGCATCTCTAGGCACTCTGATATGGCGACGCCTTTGAACCCCAGGTCATTCCTCAGTAAATCATCAACAACCTGGTCTGAGAGACAGGCATGTGTAACATTCATGCCTGCATTCTGTATTCCACAACCTCCGATGAACATGGCATCTAGGCGCCCAGCTGCGACCGCATTTCTGAAGGGAACTAGGGCACTGAGGCTAAGTTCTTCCAATGTCTGAGTGATGATAGGCATATCCAAGCTGGAGCCGAGAAAATCAAGATTGCCATATGAGGGAAAGTGCTTGCCACACGTGGCTATACCAGCGTCCTTATAGCCATTGATAGTCGCGATACAATATTGCGATGCCTCTTGTGGGTCATCGCCCGTAGTCCGCACTCCAAGGGGTTGATGACGGGCGTTAGTTAAGACGTCCAAGACTGGGCCGAGAATGAGGTTTACACCGACGGCAGATATCTCGGTCGCCGTAGCTTTGGCTACATTGTATGCTAAATCAGGGCTGCCGGCAGCAGCAAGCCCCATGGCGCTGGGGAACTGACATATATAATCCTCATCGAATAGACTATTGACGCCTCCATTCTCTTGGTCAACCGCTATCAAGAGTGGTTGCGGGTGTCCAGCCTGATGGGCAATGGTTTGCAATTCCTGGACAAGGGCGGCAGTCTGCTCAGCCGCTATATATAAGTATTCTCACATCAGTACTTGAACGTGGTCATCGCCACCTGAGGTGGTCCACGGAGGGCCAGCCTTGGTGCGGCTCAAGTGAACAGGGGGTTGGGGAGTAGGTACATTTAAGATTTTTAGCAGTAAGAAGGATTGAGCCAAGGTGATGATTCTCGATTAGATTTCTAATGTGAGGCGTTACTTCGGTGCCATCCCATCCCATAATTAGCATCTGACCAATGGCCCTATTTCACGGGGTGTTAGTGAGCTAGCCATAGAGCATCACCAGTAAACATGGTCTGAGAGGATATAGCCAAACACCGAGGGGGAGCCCGGATTACAGCGGTGGGACCCAAGGAAAACAGCAAGCAATGAGTGTTCACGTACCAGTCGAGGTCCTGCCAAAGCGGATCAAGCTCGCCATCTTGCCTCGCCATGCTGCTATCACCAGCACCAGCACCAGCAGCAGGAAGAGGCGAGGACGTGAAGTCGTGTCACTATTCTCGTCTTGGTGGGGCTATGGGCTTACGGACACAGTACGGCAATGCAGGGTTCAGAGCAATCGACATCGGCGCTTCAGGATTTACAACACGGTGTTACAGTAAAGATAAACATGTGCTCATGATTTGCGAAGCGTTTTGCAGTCTGGATGGTATGGTACTGTATGGGACAAGAGATGCCGGCTGTCGCTTATGCCTCACGAGCCGATATTAGGTAAGTAGATGCTGTAGTGTAGGTAGTGTAGGTAATCAATCTCTGGAGCTGCCGCAGCTACCATTGCAAGGGTCTCCTACCTACTGAGCAGCATAACTGCAGCTTCAACTGTCTCAAGTTGGAAATTCGGACATGATTGGTCAATTAGCCAGTGGTTTTCTCGTCTCTGCGTCTTGGACGCATGAAGATACTATGTTACTATGTACTTACATAGTAAGAAAAGCCTGCAAGAGGCTCGCCAAGAACGAATCTCCTACTCAGGTTAGCAGTGTCTGAGAGGCCCTGATCTGCCTGATAGAGCTGTCTTGGGTTCTGCCTTGGGTTCTGTCTTACTTAGGTAATGCCACAGTCACGAGCACTGAGATGCTGGTTGGCGTTCCTCCTCGGCTGGACTCGGCCGATCTCCTCCCACCACAACCAAAAGACCTTCCACTTCGACCACATCGCCACTACACCACTTCAGTCTAGGCGATGCTTAGCACCGTTAGCAGCCGAACTGAACCTTGTCGTTGGCCGTTGCTCATCCTCTTCTTCTTCCTTCTCCCCCATACTTCGCAACGTTACGTTCTGGTTCGAGACCCAACCAACACCGACAATGCGTTGGGTGTTGGAGCCTCATCTGAGACCTACCTGACTCTGACGTGACCTACCAACCAAGGGCTCCTGCGAAATGCTATGGTCACATCCACATGTTTCAACGTGAACTCTGCTAACCGTGGGCCTGTTACTATCAGCGAGCGCGAGCGCGAGCGCGAACAGCTTACGCTACCAACGCACGTCATATCGACGAATGAAATGAATCTATCCAGTATCGCACCGTCGACCAGTGTGACGAATCAGCATTCGTCGATACCTTGAAAGCCCAACGTATACCCTCTATAACGAATTGTCCACTTATATTGGGCTAGTGTTTCGGACATCGGTGGCCAATCTCCTGGTTCACATGGCCGATTCTTTCGCTCTTCGATACCTATCCTTTTCCAATACAACTGGTACCAATCCAATAAGCAACATGTCTAGAAGGAGCGTTACAGTCACACGCGCAAATCCCGGCCTGCGGACGGATATGCCACTAAAAAAATACCATAATCTGCCCCGCAGTGATATCTCGCAGAGTGTAATGACGCTGATACCATCGGACATGACAGTACCGTTATCACTTTACTCGTTAGGTGGAGAGATCAGACTGGTCTGATTCCATAGGCGCCGCCAGTGTAAACCAGTATGATCTTGTTTCTGACACTGTCGCTGATGCGTTATCGTGAACAATAAATATTCGTAGGTACGCAGTATCTGTCTTCGCTGTGGCATATCTTTCATGGAGGTCAAGATACTCGCTGAAGGGACTACGGTCCTACTACTCGACGGAACCTAACAATATCCCTGATACATCTACCTCACTTTAGTAAAGAATCTCCCTACTGTCCATATCTTGACAACGTCACAATGCCCCACTCACTTCCCTCGTCGCCCAAGGCTACACCCAGGGACGGCCGGAACGGTATCACTAAATTCACCAACTGCCGTATCCTACGAGGCAGATCGCTGGTTAGGGAAGACCTCTGGGTAGACTCTGTTACGGGCAAGATTGTTCCAAGCCAAGCTGCCTTCTACGATGACTTGATCCTACCTGACGAGGTCATCAACCTTGGTGGTCGTATACTGTCGCCAGGACTTATCGAGTGCCAACTGAATGGAGCTTTCGGCTTCAACTTCTCAACACTTCTCGAGCCTGCTACCTATGCCAAGAAAATAAGAGAGGTGAACAAACAGCTTGTCACAACGGGAGTAACCTCTTACATGCCAACGATCACGAGCCAACGGAGCGAGATATACAAGTCTGCTTTACCACATCTTGGCCCTTCAGGCTACTACCATGTGGCAGAGGATGGAGCTGAGTCTGTTGGAGCACATGTCGAGGGCCCCTTTTTGAATCCGACTAAAAACGGGATTCATAATGTTGACGTATTACGGCAAGCTGAAAGTTTTGAGGATCTTGAGGACTGTTACGGGGCAGGTAATCTCCACAGTGAGGATGGTTACCGACCTGCAGCAGTCAAGATGATCACGGCAGCTCCAGAACTGGGAAAAATGACAGCTTTGATCCCTGAATTATCGCGGCGAGGAATCATCTACTCGATCGGACACTCAGAAGCAACATACGAGGAGGCATCCGCAGCTGTTGGCGCCGGCGCCACTATGATAACACATCTGTTCAATGCAATGCGCCCACTGCACCACCGCAACCCGGGTATTTTCGGGGTTCTCGGTATTGCCGAAAGTCTACCACGCCCTTGGTTCGGCATCATCGCCGATGGCGAACATCTACATCCAACCACCATCAAGATCGCGTACAACGCGCACCCAGACGGTTTTATACTGGTCACTGATGCCATGCACTTGGTTGGGCTTCCGGACGGCACCTACCCTTGGACAAACGGCGAGGATATGAGTAAAATTATCAAGAAAGGACCTAAATTGATCCTTGAAGGATCAGGTCGCATTGCGGGAAGGTGAGTAAAATCCCAGTCGATAGATCTATCAAATTTCCAGAAAATCGGTCAGCTAACGGTTCGAACACAGCTCCATCACGCTCATCGAGTGTGTAAACAACTTCCTCAATTGGACAGGTGCTTCTATCCCGCAGGCCCTCAATGCCGTCACATCTACGCCAGCCGCCATGTTGGGTCTCCAGGGAACAAAGGGGTGTTTGACAGAGGGCGCGGACGCCGACTTGATCGTGTTCTCTGAGAATGTGAACGCGCAAGGTAGGAGCGAACTCGTCATTGACGAGGTCTGGAAGTTTGGATCGAAAGTCTTCAGCCGATAAGGTGGCTCATTTTATCATATACCCCAACCCTTAAGATAAAGAAGGGTATGAGCGTTAAATCACAGCGTTGAGAAGAAAAAAAGGGTAGATTGCATATTGATGAAGATTCAGCAGCAACGATAGGGATGAAGAGATTACTTTTATATACCAAACTTTCAATCACTTCATTCCCGACATAGAATCACATAGCATGCTTATAGTTTAGACTATTTCATCAAGTTAGATTCTGTATAGTCGGTCACCCGCATCTGCAGAAGCCTCGCGGCGATCTATTCGCGTGGGAGTGGCGTATGTAAGGCCATCCCGTATCGTGTTATGAATATACATACTATCAAACAACACGCTATCCATGTCCATACACACCAGTGCTCGTACCGTTCATTCGTTCTTTGTATGCGTTAATCCAATTGCTCCTATATATATATAACCAGACATCAGATACACCCCAAGAGCACCACTCGACACCTTTATGCATCGTCACGGCCGCTTAATCGTGAGTTTATACGGTTTATTGAGTTTCTCCATTGGCATGATCCCGCTGCGTCCCAGACCTGCTGGCCGCTTGATCCCCGCGCGCCAACCCAGCGGTCCCGTCACGGTTGTTGCGTGGAAATTGGCCGCGGGCCGTCTATAGTCCTCCGGGGAGATGTTTTCGTCTCCTACATCTGACGGTTTCTTTCCGGCGTCCTTGTCTGTATCTTTGTTCTCGGTCTTTGGTCCCATAGGAGCAGGCGTGCAAGAGGACTCGGTGGACGGCCGGGTTGGCGAGCTCGAAAAGTTTGGATATTGTTTCGAAGAAGGCTCGTTGCGGCGTGGCGGGGGCTTGCTGGCGGGTAGCTTTGCTGCGCCGAGCTTGTGGGATGCCAGCGTCGGGTCGATGGCTGGTGCTACGGGAGGCGGGAGAAGGTACTCGTTGTTGAGTGTACGGCGTCGGGCGTACGGAGGAGGCGGTGCTGGCACTGATAAGGTTCGTTTTAGGACGGCTGGTGCATTCGCAGTGAGATCGGTAACCACTTTCGACTTGTCATGGTTCGTGATGCCGTAGCCGTAGCCTAGCAAACTCCTCTGATTAGGAGGGCGATTGCTTGTTGTTTTCCTCGGGGCACTCTGGGCTGGTAGCGGTGGCCGTGCCGCTAACTTACTGGCTTCCGCAGTAGCTGCAACACTGGCCATATGTGCCCCGGCCGTGGTAAAGCCGGCCGAATGAGGCACCGTGAAAGAGGCCGCTTTCTGCATCGTTGTTTTATACGGCGCGGCCCAGCCTTCTACCGACTCTTCTGCCACCTGGACGCCCTTAGCGGGGTGTTGAAGTTTCTGTCGTTTGCGTGCCCAGCTGTCACCTCCTGGGATGACCGAGGAGTTAAGTGGTTGGTTGGGATCGACTGGGAAAAGATTGTCCTCCGGTGCCGTCATGGATGGGATACCTTTGTATATGACGCTGTCAAGAGGGAGTTCCCGGCCCAGAATCTTAGCCACCGAGGACATTACGGACCGGTCGAAGGATGGCCCCTTTGAGAGGAATGCTGAGGATGGTAGGAGGTCGATAAAAGATGAGAGCTCAGCGGGTTTACCGCCTCCACTTGCAATGGTCTGCGGACAGCTTAGATAAAGGAGAGCCTTAGCTCTTGTCATCGCTACGTATAGCAAACGACGTTCTTCGTTCTGGTCTTCAGCTCGTGAGTGTGGTATAGACCCGTTGTAGACCGCAGGAATGAAAACAACAGGCCATTCAAGACCCTTCGCAGCGTGTATGGTAGATATCGTAACAAGCGGCTTCCCCTCCTGGTCCTTGTCGTCGGTTTGTTTATCTGATGCTAGTGAGATATTCGAGAGAAATCTAGCAAGAATGTCGTCTTCAGACGCTTGGGCAAACCCCTCGATAGGAGGGAGAGCATCATCATCATTTGATTGGCTCTGGCGCATAAACTCTTCGGCAAGCGTTACGAACTCTTGCACATTTGCCCACCTTGATTCATACTCAGCACCATAAGTAGCTTCTAAATAGTCCTCGAACTTGAGATCGCGAACCAACTTCTGAATCAACTCAACCAAGTTCATGGGCGTGCCAAGCCCGGCCTCTGAACGCACCCGCTCCCGCAAACTGTTCAGAGGTTTCAGCAAACTTCCACTAAGCGCATTCTCAGTCTGCTGTCTAATGTTGGTCTTGGCCCTACGTTGGCCTCGGCAATGCTTGTCGATAAGCTGCCACAGACTCATAGATGATTTCTCAGCTTCCTCTAAGAGAGCTTTAATAGTTATTTCGCCGATACCTCGTTTAGGGACATTGATGATACGCGCGAAAGCATCATTATTATCCGGCTGGTGGATGATACGCATATAATCTAGTACTATCTTGATTTCAGTACGTTCGTAAAACTTGAAGCCGCCTAGAAAGCAGTGGTTAGCGAGACACTATCTAAGTATTCAATCTAGATAACACATACCAACCATTCTGTATGCGATACCTTCCCGTCCTAGGGCTGATTCGACGTGACGAGATAACGCTGCCGACCGAAGCAGGATTGCAAAATCGTCAAAATCTATCATATTTCCTGATAGTAATCGTATTCGCTTTATCTCTGACACAATCCAGTCCGCTTCATCATTTGAGCTCTTTAACTTACGGAGAACTGGTCGAGTTCCTTTATCGCGGACGGGCAAAAGCACCTTCTTGTATCTTTCTTGGTCTTGTTGTATGACTTTCAACGCAGTATCCAGAATGCAACTTGAGGACCTGTAGTTTTCCTCCAAAGAGATCTCGTCGGTTCCGGGGTAGTCACGGAGTAGCCGATGCAGATTTTTTATCTCTGCAGACCGCCATCCATAGATACTCTGATCCGGGTCTCCCACGATAGTAACTCTCCGATATCTTTGCGCAAAAAGCTTCATGAGGTCGTATTGAACCCCATTTGTGTCTTGATATTCATCAATCAAGACCGTTTGAATGTTAGAGACGCACTGCGGGAACTTTCGAAGAAGCTCGACGCAGCGCACGAGGAGATCATCGTAGTCGAGTAAGTTCGATCGTTCAAGCTGGCTCTGATACTCTTCAAAACACCTTTCCAGGGCTTGCGACTCAACGCTTTTGCCTTTTTTGTCCTTGACAGTTTGCTCATCCGATGTCCCCTTAGCCTTGCGTTTACTAATCCAGGCCCGAGCGATGGGAGGCTCTATAGAGGCGTCCAGCCTCTTGCAAATGCGGGTAATGATCCCTCTCGAATCTGAGTCGTCGGCAATTCCGAAGTTGGTATCCAGACCAATGCGCTTGCCATATTTGACGAGATAACGCCGAGCGATGCTGTGAAAGGTACCGATGATGATACTCTTCTCCCGTCCATCACCAAGAGCCTGTCCAATGCGGCTTTTCATCTCATTAGACGCCTTATTGGTGAACGTTGCCACGATGATATCCTGCGGCTGTATCCCGGCATTATCAATCAGCCAAACGACTCTCGAGGTGAGCGTATGCGTCTTCCCACTCCCTGGCCCAGCCAGTATGGCTACTGTTGGGGCTTCGGAGCTGACGGCACGGCATTGTGCCTTGTTCAGCGATTTAAATATATCAAATCCATTTGTGAATGTCATGATCTAGCACACTTTAGAGCAGATACAGATCGCCTATCTTTTAGATGAGAAGATTAGGTCAACATGGACATGCATCATCCAGCGTGAGGACGCGTCTTGGGCTGAGGAGTCACGCGCCACCAAGTTAACAGCAGACACGGTATCATGTGACTTGTAACTGTGGAAAGTCAAGCCTCACATCACACGACCTTTGCACATCCAAATCAGTCAATAGATATTAAGGCAGCGAAACAGCATGAGGGTCTATATGAAATGAGTTTTCAAAGAATCCGGTCTATGAGTTGTCATATCGTGCTTACAATAAACATCAGGTACTTGAACAACCTTGGAACTCGCCCAGGGAAGTTGATGATGTGGCGTATGTTTTGTGGCTGAAGTGGTCGTGCACGCTGCGGCCCGCCGTAGGTACCTAGGTACCTGCCTAACCTACTTCTCAGACCTTCTCTTCTCCCCCAAGAATTCTCTCCCGCCTTACCCCAAACCCCCGGACGTTATATGTGAGGATCAAGTGCCATCTTTCAGCTCATTCGTCAATTGAGACTTTCCTGCATCTCGAAGCTGGAGGCGCATTGCCCATTGTAGATCCATCTGAATCTCACCCATATGATCAGAGGATGGTATTCGCATCTTCTTTCCAATATCACAACAAGTATTACGCTATTATACTTGACTCTTGTTCTCGTTAGCCGACGTGTAAGTTGCTTGGGCCCATAGTCACCGTCTGCCCCAACTCTATCACAGTTTTCAAATGTACACTATCTATCAAGTCACGATTACCATGTGCGGTTCCGATTCCTGATAGGTAGATAGGCTGTGACAGCTCTTGATAAAGTATAGTACAGATACTATAATGCATGGAATCATTCCATCGCATTGAACATCCCATTTCTATCACCGCTTTTCTGGCACGTGCAGGGTAGAATGTAAGGAACAGCAAACCGAGCGCAAACCTCGAAATGTGAAGGCACAGGAAGAATGGGGAAAATAATGCACAATTTACCAGGAGCAACCTACGAGGCACGATGGCCAAGCGACCTAACGAGTCTTCTATGAATAGGGTAGATAGTCGCTGCTCGTTGCGACTGGTGGACTGCACGGAGGGGGGCTGGCACCGGGCGGTTCGGGCGGGGTTCGCGGGCGACGATGCATGCATGGATCGCCAATCAGCTCCGTAGTTCGAGTCGTCGGCGCTTAACCTCCCCTGTCATCCCAGATCTTCCATCCAACCAGAATCGCGAAAGGCGGTCAACTCCCGCCCGTTGCAGTGATCACTGTGATCCAGCATGGATTCCCATCACGCTGACTGGGCGCTTCTCTCGGGGGCCATCACACATATACCCCCAATGGCCCGGCCGGTTGGGCGAGTGAGAGGCCGGTTCACAGCCCAGTGTCACTCGTGATATGTTGGTATCTTCCTCCACGGCCCACCTCGACGACACACTACCGAACTTCACCAGCCGCTATATACCCATTGCATGCCCATTGCCCTCCCAATCCGTGATTGACCTTGTCGATTCTCCAGCAATAAACGTTTCGATTGATGGTAAGGAGGTCCTGCGTGATCGAGGAGACAAGGCGCCGTGATATGGTGAAATTATATGAAGATCTGTATTACACAACACCATGTACCCGGGGCTTTATAGCACGCCTCCCTTACTTGATCTTTCTCTGCTTTTAACCTACTCCTTGGCCTTCATTCCTCTGTGCTCTGCGACACCTGAGCTTACCGTATACTCAAACTACTTCGATCCAGCACCGTCTCCAGAGGACGGCCCTCCGTTGTCTGCCAAAGCGCTTCGCAACCCAGCTTATCTTCCAGCTCAAATTGGTGCGATTGTAGGCGCATATGCCCTATCAGTTGTCATAGTTGCCTTAATCCTATTATCACTCGCGAAACAGCGTCGCAAGCGCATAACAGCAGGAGAGGCTGGTCTAGATAACTACCAGGAATACGGACTTCAGTTCGCATTTCCCCCAGGGCTCAAACCCGGTGACAATCCTCAGAACTTTCCTTACCCTCCTCAGACACCCAAGTCGCCCTTCAAAAACTTCTCATACCCAACGCCACCAACGCCATCAGGGGAGCAAGGTCGGACACCATATACAGTTTCCGGCTCCTTTTCGACATACTCAACGAGCACTCTTGGCATCAACCCTCTAGTAGACCATAGAGTTGTTGCTGCGGACCACGAGATGGCCCAACAGCAGCTGGAGGAAATGTACAAATATGTGTTGGAGCACGAGGCTGCCAAGGAGGCTGGCACGCCCATCGAACGGCCGCCGAGCCCTCTGGCCAAACAAACGCCGCCCGTGGCCCCGCCAAAGCAGGGCATCCTGAAAAGGGGCAAGAACAAGCCTGCAAACTTGGAACTTGGCCAAGGTGAACCAGAGAAGCAGTCCCGAACATCGGCATTCCTGTCGGCTCTCAAATCTCCAAGGAAGAAGAATAATACGAAGGGCATCAGCATCTCCTCCCCTATCCTAACGCCCATGTCAGGGACCTTCCCTCGACAGGACGAACAGGAGATGAATGTAATACCTCCTCGTCACTATGCGCCTGCTTCGCCGCCACCTGTTCCCACAGACCAGCCTGCATATTTGCAGTACGCGAGGCACACTGGGCCGGTGGCACCTATCACCCCTCCAGATCTATCACCAGAGAGCACGCAAAGTATAGATGAGCGTCTTGGTGCTCAATTCGGCCACAACCGGTACGATTCCCAGGCCCCGACCGAGGTAGATCCAGTGTCAGCAACCTCAGACCGATCAACGGCGCCCCTTGTCGGTTTACCAAGTTCGCCCAAGCCTAGCACGACTCGGTTTCCTTCACTCCCAAGCTCGCCTAAGCCTGGGGCCACGTTCCCAACATCGCCGCGATCTGGGCAATTTTCTCGGCCTAATGCCCCCTCGGCCGTTCGCACCGGAGGCACACTTCCCCTCCGTGCGTATGAGCCAGCATTGAGCTCTCCATCAGCGCAGACCACCAAACAGACAACCTTTGAGCGGGCGATTCCCTTATCTCCTGGCGCGCAGACGCCCTGGACGGGTGCCCCTGTCCCCTACTCGCCGTATCAACCGTTCTCACCTGTGGTACCAGTCACACCGTCACTGGTGACCAAGGCTGACCGTAAGCGGATGAAGCAACTTCAGCCGAAGACGCCAACCATGTCGATGGTGCAAAGTTCCGATGAGATGTGGTAGGCGATGGATTTGGGAACTGATAGGGTTAATATGTCCTCAGGACGCTAGGAGCGGCGGTGTTCATGGGTTATTGGAAGTTATTGGGTATGTAATGATGATGTTACAAGGATTGTCACGATCGACACGGGGTTTTATTGTTTTTCAGGGTTGATGATTTGCCAAATAGGCTGAGCTGGGATATCAGGTAGGACTGAGGAAATGATGTTATCACTTATACCACGGGGAGGGAGTCTTATTGGAGTCAATTGTACACTATCAGCCAACCAGTCATTCCAGTGGGCTGTCATCAACAAGATTTTTAGATTCGCTGTCTTCGATAGACGAAAATATTGTTTTTGGAAAAACTTATTCAAGGCTCAAAGTCCACCCCCTGAACAATATTGTGATAAATCTGCTTGTCCCCTGCGTATTCCTGCCTGGTTGGTTACGAATTTGTTTGGTCCAGATTGACTATGGAGGCAATCTCTTCAATGAGAACTATCCCGATATTCTCTTCTCTAGCAAAATTTGGAGTATGTAAGTGGTGTTACAATTCTTAATGCCTGTGAGGTAAAGATAATCATCCTCACACTACCTACTACGTAGTATGTTGATACCTCCAAGAACACTCAGTTGTGTTACGGACCGGGTGGATCAAGATGTGTCAAATCAGCTGCCAGGTATTTCTAAGCAGCAGCCACAATGTCAGTTAGGTACAGCTGGCCTTAAGCCTCATATTACTACAGCAGATTCCCTATCAATGTAGAGTAGTGACTGGTATTGTAAAGTGGCAAAAATAGACAACTAAGTAAGGGATGATACCCAGGAAGCTGAGGCCTTAGATTGAGCAATAGTGAATTGAGGCTTGGGGAATCCTGTCCGATCAGGCCATATTCTTATTATAAGGCGATTTCCCAGGTCCAGCCACAGCTTCGGCCATGGGGTACCTAACCGAGATGGTAGGCATCTTCGGCCGTATGAGGAAATAAAATCCTCCACCTTGCGTACTATCTCCTACCTCGCAGGGCAGACCAGACCCGGACCGTACCCGGAGACCCAAGGACAGCAACGCGAGGAGATTACCAGTACCCAGGTCGGTTACCGTGATCGCCGTCCAGCTCGATGATAATCATGACATGGATCGGTGGCAACTATCACGGAATGATGGGAAATGTTACAGTATACAACTCTTGCGCAGACAAGACGTACGATATATACCACTTATGAAGTATACCGGTTTCACTGGTGGTGCGAGAGGATGCAAAGATGCGATTCCCGATTGGCCTCGACCTGTGCGCGTTATGCAAGATGCGAAAGAGCAATGACATGCCCGTGTATAATCCCGGCAAATGTTTCGAGATAGATACATACTTACTTACAATAGTACCTAAGTAGTGTAGACTGATGTTTGTCCTTTTCGATCAATCTCTTCTGTCGCCAGTGTATCCTTGTACTTGAAGACAGATGGTACTACAGATCCGCGTACATAGTACTCTATTGTACAAGTAGGTACTCCATTTTATTCCGTACCCATCATCGCATGCGGTCGAAAGAGAGGCAAGATGGCGGGTTGCATTAGCCTATCTTACACGTGTACACTAGCATAGTCTGTACGATGTAGTATGTATGAAATCTCTACATAACCGAGATAGATCTCAGAGGCGATTCGCGACTAGACAGTGGACTGATATGGGGAGGCATCGCACTTACAGTACCTAGGTCGCAGTGTAGGTAGCATCACACTTCCAATTTCAATTGTGCTAATTAGCTGATTGTCCGTGCATGCATAATTTACCTTTACTTCAGGTTTACACGACACTAAAATGCACCCGCGCGCCAATGACATGCCAAATGCTTGCCAATCCCCACGCATTTTCAGGATGCTTTTTCCTTAGTCGCTGCGGAGGACTCCGATGCTGGAATCCAAGAACGTGGTTTTCTGTACTGGGTGTTAGTAACAGTGGCCCTGTGTTGCATGAGCGGCGAAGCGTTGATGGACTACTAGTAAATCGGGCCACGAGTGGTCAACTCTGGCGAACAACTAGCACTGAACAGTGATAGCGTGCCGTAATAATGCATCATCGAACGCCCTAGACAGCCGTTGAAGGCCATCGTGAAGGTTACCTACCTAGTGTGTGCAGTAGTGGACGCACACTACACTAGAGAACAACGGCTCAGCCCGGAGTCGCAAGAGTTAGCGCACGCTAGAGCTGGAAGAGCAAGACACAAGCGACAGAGTGACAGGAGAGAGAGAGAGACAGTGAGAGGGAGGGCTCGGGAGGGGTCGCGCGAAGCTTGCTTCGTCGCAAGCCGGTCCTGGTGTCTTGTCTCAGTCAGGAGGGTCCGAAGTTTCCCGCCATCGTATGATCTCTGATCTCTGGCGCGTTGTCCAGACTGCAGACTGCAGCATCCGTCCGTCCACCTTCCCGACACACATCCCACACAATCCCTCACATCCCTCCCGTCCTGGCGAATAGGTACTCTCCCAGCCAGCTGCACGCTGCTGCGAGGCATCTCGGACTTTGACTCTTGTCTCTTGTCTCTTGTCTGGGCTTGCTGGCGTCTCTGGCGTCTCTGCCATGCCTGCGCGCGCCTGTGTGGTCTCTATCTCTATCTCTCTCTGTCTCTCTGCTCGAGGATGCTTTAGGATGCTCCAGGATGCGAGCTGCTGTGTGTGGGTAGATAGTGGGCGATAGTTGAACCGAACTTCCCTCTGCATTGTGTTAATGCTATTTCAAGTTCTTGATTGCCCCTTGCACTATTTTTTTTTTCCCTAGTAGCCTGCCTATCCACCCATCTGTCTTGTACTCGTACCGGTATCTTGTGTCTGTTTGCTTGTCCTGTCTGTCTACACGTACTACAGTACGTACATTACCTAACTATCTACCTGCCTACCTAATCTCTATTCAGATTGATGACATGCCTACATAATTTACTACTGAGTACTGTACTTACTAAAAGGGTACAAAAGTTACACCTCTGTCGAAATTGCCCATTTAAGGCACGCAAGCAACGGGGATCCTGCCTGTACACAGATTTTCAGAGCCCACCCCCCCATCGAGATCTTGTGCCTCCAAGAACGTGACGCACGACTCTCCTCGGCTCTATTCTTCTGTTCTCCGTCCTGCCCTTGTCCCTCTCCGCACTACGCTAGATCTAGTAGGGAGAAGCAGCAGCAGAAGAAGTAGAAGAAGAAGAGGAAGAGGAAGACACCACAAGAAAAAGCTACCGACAGTAATAGATCTGCTTCCAGCGTGCCCAAGGTACTGATTGATGTACGTGTAAATGAAGTGAGACTGGGACCAGTGTAGTCGTACCGAGTACTTACAAGTTACCAGTAGGAGAGCAAGAGCAAGAGCAAGAGCAAGTGGGTGTGCAGGCAGAGCACCTGCACCCACTACACTAGGTAGTTGTCGCGGCCCTTGGCGTCACATAACCAAGTTGCCCAATCCTTCAGCTTCGTCCTCTTCATCTTCATAGGCAGGTACATACGGTACATACGGTACTCTTGTCCTCTGCTGTCTGCTCACGCATGCACGCACGCACGCACCTCTCTTTTCGCTCAATCAATACCTACACTTGCCTGCCTTTCGATACCTTTTCCCTTCTCCTTCATCATCCTCATCATCATCATTATTATTCCTATTATCACCACCCTCTCTAGAATCCGTCTCGATTCAATCCCAGACCCTGGATTGCGCCGTATCGCGTCTCGCGGAGCATTAAGCTGACCGTGCCGCTTCTTGGGTTCCTAGCTTCTTTTAATTTTCCCGTTCCTTCTACCACCCAAAACCGGACCACTACCCACCATCATACATACTTACCTTAGTCGCCCACACTTTTCACCTTATCTTTATATCACCAACGGTGCCATTCTCTCGGTGTCCGCCTGTTTAGGTACCCATACGCCCGCGACCCGACTCAGTGAATCAGGCCACCCGGCCTCCAACGTCAAATCACCATCGTGAACCGTTCCCCGCCCTATCAATCCACCCCCCAAACCCCTTCCTCCCCCCTTCGCTGGTGACAGGCGTGGCAGACAACCCCCTGCCTATCCATCTCTTGTTGGGCTTCCTTTTTTCCTAAACCTGACTTATGTCGAACCACGCTCGCATCTGGTGATCGCATCAGCATGACAGATCGTCGGGAGGAAGCTTCAGGCCTTTATGGCCTCGACGCCTCCAACTCTTCATATTATCAAGCTGCCAGTACCACTGCTGGTGGTGGGAACGGCGATGCACTGAATACAACTAGCGATGATCAGCAGTTTTTTAACGACTCGAGCTGGCCTTTTCAAGACACCCCTCCCTACGACACATACGATGCCAACCCGTTCTATCAAGAAGGATGGAATATGAGCCAGCAACTTCCAATGCAGGACGGCCTTCCCCGTCCACCTATGCCGTTGCCACAGCCCGCCATGAACGAATCTGGCGGTCCTCACGCCTTTGCACTAACAACTCCCGTCGCCTCTCCAGATGTTGCGCAGGCCCGTCCCGTCGCGCCACAGCCGACGGCCAATTTATTGAGTGAGGAGCAGCGACAACAGCTACAAAAGATTGCCATGCCTCCAACGATACCGTATCATTCTCCCCGTAGCGAGCCAAGCCCCGACTCTACTGGTGGAGCAGGCAAATCTTCTATGTCTTCTTCGCCTGAAGGCATACGGGATTTCGACAAGGCGAACAGTCGCAAACGAAAGTCCTCAGCTGATGACGACGATGACGACGACGACGAGGACACCCACCAACCCGTGAAGAAAACAGCTCACAATATGATCGAAAAGAGATATCGCACCAATCTCAACGATAAGATAGCAGCTTTGCGTGATAGTGTGCCCAGTCTACGGATCATGTCGAAGAGTGCACGAGGCGAAGATACCACAGAAGACCGAGAGGAGTTGCACGGCTTAACACCAGCCCATAAATTGAACAAGGCAACGGTAAGTCAGCGGATCGCTACGTCGCTTAAACAACCGACGTCCGTGCTAAACCTTGATACAGGTCCTAAGCAAAGCCACTGAGTATATTCGCCATTTAGAGAAGCGTAACTCGAGGCTTATGGATGAAAATGCCGCAATGCAGCAACGAATTGCTGCTTTCGAGAAGCTCTTCATGTCGGGGGCCATGAACGGGGCAATTAGCCCTCATCAGCAACATGCGCCACCCACACCTACCACATATCCTCCAGAGTCGACTACGTTCGCGCCCTCCCCTATGGGCACGCCTGGTCGACAGGACCCTCAGGGCATGATTCAAGTCCCAGATGAGATGAAGCGTATCATTGCCGCACAGCTAGCCTCAGGACAACCCTATGCAGTCCCACAACAGGCGTTTAGGCCCAATCCCGCTCTAGTACGCCACCAACAAATTCAGCAGCAACAGCAAATGCAGGCGGGAGGTTGGCAGAATGCTACCCCGTACTTCGGTAAATTAATGGTCGGTTCTTTGGCTGGTCTCATGCTGCTAGAGGCTGTTCGCGAGAACGAGCAAAGCAACGAGACCCCCGATGGTCGCGGTCTTTTCGCTCTACCAATACATCTGCTCAGGTTCCTCACATCGAACTTGAATGTCAATTTCATGGGATATTCAATTAGTGGTGCCCGAGTTATTTACTCCATCAAGGTGGTATTGTTGCTGTGTAGCATCTGGTGGGCTCTCATGCCGTCACTCATGGATTCGAAACCACCGAATCCAAAGCAGTCAAAACAAATCCCCGCCGCCCTGAAAGCAGCCCCATCGCTCGCTTCACCCATTCACGTGCGTCAACAGGCATGGCTTACAGCGGTTCAAACTGTCTGGGTACCGCGTCACAATTTCTTCTTAGAAGCTGCAGCCCTTGGTCTCAAGACTGTAAAGCTTAGCCTGAGAAACATGATTGGTGTACACGGGTATCAAATGCTAACAGGTCTGACCGAGGATCAGGAGATTGCTCGCGTCAAAGCTTGGGCCATTGCTCTCGATGCGCAATTAGCTGGTGGCGATGTTGAGATCAGCAAGAGTCGGTTAACCCTAACACTGCTTGCCTCTGCTACACTCCCCACTACTCCCCTCCGTCTAATGTTGAAGGCACTACACATTCGTGTCCTGTTATGGGAACTGGGCTTGAGTGGAGTATCAACAGGAGTGCAAGTGATTGCTGCGAAAGTAGCAAGATCTAAGTGGAACGAAGCTAAGCAATTGAACCGGCTCATTACCCAAATGCGTCGAAATGGCCAGGAGACCGCAGATGATGACCTCCCCGATCATTTGGCAGCTTTGTTGGAGCAAGACTGCGACGATGTTCTGAACGCCGCCATCATTCAACGAGCCCATAACCTGGCTTGGAACCGTGCTACCGAGTACAATGCAATTGGCAGTATCGATGGCATGGCCACCGTAATTGATGACGCTGCTGTCCGATCACCCATGGATGCTGTAGCTGCCTGGTGGTCCAGTATGACATTGCACGGAGTCCTCACAACGAGCTTACTTGCTTCAAACGACGAGGGCGAGGATAATGATGCCTCTCTACATATCGACCATGAGGTGTCTCTCGCCATTCGAACTGCACCAATTGGATCTGTCGCACAACAGCGTGCATTGGTCACGCGGGCATTACTCTCCGATGAAAAGCGAAGCATCAATATTGTTGCTGCTTTGCAAGCCATCGGCCCGGTAACAGCAGTGCTCACATCGAGTGATGCCTCCGACTCGTCTAGCCCCGAAGCACCGACTACCCCATTAAAGGAGTTACCATCATCTTTAGTCACTACAAACGAACTTCGCACCTCATTACTGTGCGCCATGGCTATTGCTCATCTCCAGAAATACTCGCCTCCAGATGAACCAGTCAACATTTACGGTGTTATCAGTCAAATTCAGCCTGCACGTGATATGGGTCTCCTCGGCTACACGGCAGCCTACAAGCTAATGGATCGCCTTGCAAAACATGAATTTGCCGCCGAAGCCTGCGCTAGCACGCTCGAGCGACTTTCTGGACATCTAAGAATATGGACAGGAAAGGAATGCGCCCTTGAGCCCGATATTAGGCACCGAATCGTTGGCCGATGTCTTGCTGTGACTCGGGTCATCGTTGGCATGAATTTCGACACTGATACTGGGTACGGCAGCATGAGTGATACTGAAAGCGATTACGGTACCATATCAGACCCAGAACCTGAACCAGAGGTAGAGGCAGAGCTAGAAGCAGAAAACGCAGCTGAAATAGTAGAAGCTCCTTGTTGTGGTTGCGGCTCATAACTTTCTTCTATCACATTCGTTATTTTTCCTTATTCAAAGAAGCTGATTGATTATTCAGTCTTACATATCAATTACCTCTGTACTTTTCTTTCTTTAATGTTGGCCATGATCATATCGCGTGTTTATGGCCTAGCTACGGCAACTTCATTATTTGCCCATATTTGCACGTCTCCTCGTCATGAGTATTTTACTCCTCCATGGTATATTTCATTACATCATTACGTATAAATCTGCTTCATGTTTTGGGGCGGCTGGGCACTTGGTCGGAGTATTATTGTTATTTGGCCCTAGGGGAACGGTATGGATAAAAAGTAAAGCTCGGATGTGGGATTCTCATGTACAGGTGCAAGGTGAATCTGACCAACGAGAGCTTAGCATATTCACTAACGGAACGGTATGTTTTCTTCATAAGAGGGCAGCGCTGGGAGAGGTCCCCTGTGTATGTTGGGATGTCAATTCTGGACTGCGCTAGGGTGATGAAGCGCAAAAATAAAATGTTTACCCCTCTCTCACTTCATAAGCAATGAGGTACTGGCTCGTCTTCACGACTTCCCACAGTAGTATGCGCAGGAGGAAGGAGACTAAGGGATATATCTCCCTTGCATTCGAGGCCGAACATCGGGTTTATCTGCAATGACTGCTATCGCAACACAAGTCTTGTGAAGGAATCGGGCGTTGTATTGATAATACCTACTTAGAAGGTTATGGCGAGTAATCTGGTCTCGAATCCATGATCGGTTTAGTCAGTTCAGCGTTATATACCATCTTAATTATCTTGCCGCCTTTAATGCAGTTTGAAAAAAGAAAGAAAGAAAGACATCTTTCTTCTATAATATTGTGCATTTCTGAGTTAAATTATTGACGTTCTCTGTGGTGATTGTAGACTATAAGTTGTATGTTCTGGATATCGTTTGAACATTGTAGCCCGGGAAGGGGTTTGGAATAGCTGTGCTGTTGTGGTCTTAGTCGTGATGGTCTGGGTTTTGGTATTGGGTATTTGAGATGGATGGAATAGCTTGGCTTGCGTAGGTAGATAGTTTTACCTACTTACTGTATATATGAGTAGTTGCGGTTGGTTGAGAACGATATGAAATGACTGCGTGCGTGGGGGGACTGTATAGTTGGATATCATGGTGTCACAGAGGTGGTATATTTTACTTTTTTTAAGTATTACCTGGAATTGAGTTTCGGTGTACTAGAGCTTCTGGCTTGGTTTGGATCGTGATGTTTTCGTCTTTCGCGGGAGTTGGTATGCGTTACCTTGAGCTTGGTTGAGAGGTATGGCTCCTGTGTAGGAGGGAATAGAATGTTTGTGTTTGGGTTTGTGTAGGGTTGGGATATATAGTAGTTGTGTTGGAATTTACCTATGTATTATTTACGTAGGTTAGTATATTTTCGCTTGTCGTAGTTCCTTAGGTTAGGTATAATATTGCGTAATAAAGCCGTCTGTTTAGGAGAGATGGTTGAGTTGATGGTATATCTGTGATGTGCTAGCTCCGTACATTGTGGCTAGCCTGGTACTGTTTGGTTCGAGAGGGCTACTCTTCAGCTTAGTTCTTGATCGCAGCGTATATTAGTTGGTGGCTGCGGAAGATGTTTTGGGGGAGAATACTTATGATTCGAGATTGAATGCCGTAGAAACGAGTTGTAAGTCGCCGGATCGTCAGTTAGCATGTATTGTGAATCATGGAGGGGAAGTTTAGACGGGGATAGAGTGATGCCGTATGTTCTCACGTTGAGTAGAGAAATATTGGCGGCATGATATCCTGCTGCGGAAGAGATATTGAAATATGTCTCATCGGTGAGCCGCAGACTGGAGACATGCCATTTTGTGATGATGTCTATGTGACATATATGAGAGAGAAGCATTTCTTAGGCAGTACTGCTTCATCTGGGATTTATAATTACCCATGGCCCAGGCGGTTTAACTAACTTAAAGGAATAGCACTTGTAACTTATAAAATAGCAGCTAAAAGATCCCATTATGACTGCTTACGTGTCTATATCCGAAGAGCTGTCGACCACTGTCGGTATTATGTACGCCCGAGAACATGAATCCTACCCTGGGTTGCCTGATTACTATAGATACCTTATATGCAACAGAACCAAGGGGAGGAGGTAAATAGCACTAGCAATAATTCTTCAAGGGCCGGGGAAAGAGGCTATTCCTCACCCACAAGACCACTTTGTAATGGCTGTGTGCTTCCGCCTCGCTCATCCTTCTGAGGAGTTTAAACCATGGGTTTTGTAGGTGTTGCTTTATAGTATTTCAACTTTATATACCGCTTCTTTCCTGCTCCAACAACATGCGCTCTCATAAACAGCCGACGAGACATACGTAATCGAACGGCGTAGAAGAGGCTAGATTAACATCATCTTTCCCTTCAAGCTTCTTTAGCAATTCCAGGAGTCAGCCTGCCTAGAAAAGGTCTGAATATGGTGATCAAGGCAGACAATTCGACTCATTTGATTATCCTATACATATGCATATTTGCCATGTGAAACAAATACTGGGAGGGGCCGGCCAAGTAGACAGGATTAATAGGGTGTGAGAATTGTCTGTATGAAAACTCAGCTGTACGGTCGAAGTCCGAACTTTTCGCTGTTCGAAGTATACATGAAATAATCACGTCTACTCAACTTCATACCTATCCATTGTGCATCAGACGGTAGTGTTTTGACGTAGATATCGGCAGTGTTTCAGAACTCCATCCCCGTCTTTTCACTTCCCAGAGAAGATATTAAATAAGATTGTCTAACTATGTTTATCTGAAGATTAAGCTAGCTATAGCTCGATGAGCTTGATGATAGATTCTATAAAAACGCATAACTTTAAGCACGCTATAACCCGAACTGAGAAAGTAGTATAGATCGTAGTCTTGCGTGTACGGAATTGGGGCTGTATTTTCAAGGGGGCGTGTGGAATAGGAAAGCCAATGAGTAGGGAGGCTCAACCCTGTGAGTTGATACTAACGTCTGAGTGGCTCTAGTATGTAGTCGATATCGTGTTCTAGTGCCTACCGTAATAAATATACATATCAAGGTTACGGAGAAGAGAACCGTACCACGGATGGTTGTGTTCAGAACTCAGCAGGTATTCAAAATGGAACAGGATAGCGGCTATTCACCCTAATGAGAGAAGTTATGTGCTTTTAGTACTTTTGAAGACAAGGTAGCTGGAAGTAAATAAAGACTCACTTGACCTTATATCACTGATTAGTATTATGAACTCTATACCATGTTCTGGTATTGTGGTTTTCTGCGTCAGGTATGAGCTGAACAGCTGGGAACGTATCTCCTCCCGTCGCCTTAACAATAACCGTGTCACTGTGAAGGGGGGTGAGCCGAAGGTAAGTGCAGCTGTCACTCTCACCTCGTCAGAGATCCACCATATATCATAGTTTCAGGACATGATCTTCGACTCGGGCTCGCCCTTTCTAGATAGTCTGTCGGAATGATATTACTATACCTAAAGAAGGAAAACGCGTAAATTGTCCGAGAGAGGAATTGAACTACTCAATGGCTGTGTCCTTGATTTCATAACCCCAAGAATTTCAGAATTACGAGCTTGAGTCTTTCGTACGATAGGTTATGCGCTATGCGAGCTACAAGTAGCTATAATTGAACTTCAAACCATATGGTGGAAGGGCTAGATAAAGACGTAGATCCTGTCACCCCGATCATGTTCAATTCAGGGCTTTTGGAACTGATTGATATCACTTATTTGCATGCAAACTTTAGGGATTTGACTTCAGTCATTTACTTGTTCCCACAAGGAGCCGGCAAAATTATTCCTAGTTGGTTGTTCTGTAGTCTATAGGTAACTACCCACTGACTGCTGTCTATTTATGATATCTAGACGACATTCCTCGTGGACATTAAAGACGTGTAAGACCCAGTATATCAGGCTCTTAAGCACTACTTCGGAATAAATTGTTAGTTAGACAGTCTGGGACTTGAGATCAACCCGTTACGCTGTACCGATGTATAAATAACATTCATTTATCTGCGCGAACTTATGTTCCTAACGGCATAGCAGGCATTGTAAATAGAACTCTTCGGCAATGTCAATGAGTAGGGGCTAAAGCTCTCTGAACGCGGGATCTAAGTTGCTGGCGCTTCCAGAATCATGGGAGGTCACAATCTAACATAGGGTATCTAGTGGTGCGTATTAATGAATACGTTGCTCAGAGGAAACAATATGGTTTATATGAGTTACACCTGACAATGACGGCCGCTTGGAAATAATCAAATATCGCTGGGTGTCCTTAGACTACGTCAAATGGACCCTATTAATGCAATTTGGTCTTGCGTGAGTTTAGAAGTTGGAAAGTGCTGTTTCAGGGGCTTGAGGAATTGCGTCACTGCTTTTAACGGACTATAGTCTGAATAGAATACAAGCATCTTGAGCATTAGTTGAACATACATGGCACAGTAAAACAGAACAAATTAACTCGAAAAGCCAGATGTGAACAAGGCTTCAGGTTAAGTCACAATGCAAGAGTATTGTATCATGATTAAACACGTAATTAGACCATGTCATTGCATCTAAAAGAACTATTTCTAAAGTTCGGCTGCCCGTAAGACTACGAGTCATTAGGCAGGATTATCTAGCCTCGGCGTTATTCAGTAGACTCCTCTAATCGAACGCCGACTTCGAATGCTGACTCTACATGTATATATCTGATCTATCCTACGCCGACCCAATAGAGCGGGTCGACACTACGCTCAACACGCGACGCCCAGCCAAGCAGGATCGATCTGCCAAATTTCGAGCTAAGATATGAACGTCAATTCAAACAAGCGATGAAAGATTATCAAGAGCTAGATACTGAACTCGTTGGTGCCTGAGTCCTATCGATTTTGCTCAGCCATGGGAAAGTTTGGGCACTTCAGGCTACGCAGAATGATGGATGGGAACGTGTCTTTGGACATATAACATTGATATATTCATTCTGATCTACTCTAGTCACCACGATCACCGTTTAGAAGACAGTTTC